AGCCTTGTAGATTCTTGTGTAGGTATTTCGGGGGGGTTGATCAGGAGCTAATAGCCACAACATTTGGGTGGAAATCTTGTTGTTTTTTTACCAAATTCCATTCCAGCGGACTACAACCCGTTGCCTCTGATGTGTTTTGACACCTTCCTGCTGTCGCAGAGTCCTTCTGGATCCGTGATCTGGACGTGCAATCACAAGGTTGTGAGACTGAACTCGACACTCCGAAACCCTCGTACGCCGCAGCATCTCTCCCGTTTCTTTAATCTGCTTCGTATCTAGTGAAGCAAAAACATGCACAGGGTCATGGAAATGGAAAATCCAAATTTTAGATTACATAGAGGAGTGAATTGGTTTTCAACCATAGAATAATTTCTATATTTTGTACTATAAAAAGGGAAAAATAGGAACCTATTCACAGAATAATGTTAGCTTGATGAAAATAAACTTCATTTTTAACTCTCCGGTTGAGGTAAAACAGCCTGCAGAGCCTTAAACGTTGGTGAAATTGGAATTAGATTCTTCATTGATCCCTCACACAGTTCCACACCGTGAATCCTTTCACAGGGTTTACTGAAGCCCAAATGGTTCTCTACAATCCTTAAATGAAAACCCCGGTTTCTTTTGAGAACAGTTTTTCCCAGAATAACCACATGAGACTTTTAAATAACTTTTGATGTTTCTTATTTACGAGGCAGAACTGCAGTTACATGATGGGGTGAAGGAGTCAGAGGCGCTTGCTACAGATCCTTTGCATACCACCGACGTGTTTATAGAGGACGTCAGTGGGTCGTCCCTTTAACACCAGTGAATACACACACACACACACACACACCCGTACCAGTGCGTGAGGATTAACATGTACAAACACAGAGCTCAGTCACTGGGGGGAAGAAGCGAACAATACAGCAGGAGGATGGAGGGGCTGGGACATCAATGGATGAAGGTAGAGGACATCCACGTGCAGGAGGACGTGAGGCAGAAGGTGGGAGGGTTTAGTTAGAGATGCAGCGAGACGGGAGGGATGAAGGGAGGTCGGCTGTTTTCCACGAGGGAAGAACGATGATGAGTCATTGGTCTGGTTTGCCTCCCGGGGGCTTACACGCACACGCACACACACACACGCACACACACACACACACACGCGCACGCACGCACACACACACACATCACTACTGTGTTTACAAAGGAGATGAGACAGTTCCACTCTGTACCTCAGCGTAGCAGGGGTGCTTCTGGGCCACATGTTTAAACGATAAGAGGAGTGTATACATACATGTGTATTGACAATGGATGGTATGAACATTTTATATTTCATAATATATATACAGTCTGTTTTTTGTGTCCTTTTGCTACATGTCCTCCAAATTGTGATGCAGGACCTTAAAGTATGTTCAGGTCAGCTAATATTAGTGCACCATGCGTGATCATGTGATGAGGGATGCTTGTTTAAGCACACTTAACAACTGTATTCTGCCCCATAAGCAGATAAAAACTACATGTCACACCATGTTTGTTTAAAAAAGGCTCCGCTAAAGGTTTGACTCTTTATAAGCTATTGTATCCTGCTATCTGGTCAATAGTAATATTGTCTTTGGTATTGTCCTTCCCACTTCATCCAACTGAATATTTAGCCTCGTTCTTCTCTTGTAATGAATGCAGAATGCAGTATTTTTATTTGGCATGATTTGGATTTGCAGGGAAAAATGTTTATTTTGTTGTGACTGTTGACGACAACTTTTAAATACACAAACAAACACACGCACAAACAATCTTGAAAACAAGACAATCCTGGAATAATCAGGACATCTTGTTGTCTAATGGTTCAGTTTTATCAACAGTTTGCTTTAGGTAAGTATTTTTGTCTGAGTGAACGTAGGAAATGGAGAATACAAACTGATTTGAATTAAAAGCTGAGAAACAAGTTGTGGTCTCAGACAAAAATAGATTTGACGAGTAGAAATGACACCAACTTTCAAATGCATTTGTCATTCTTTAGTTACACAAAGGTATATTAATCAAGCCACTGTGCTAAAAGCAGTGCGGTTTTCAATAAATCCAAAAATAACTGTGTTTGGTGGGGACATTCAGGATCACACCCCCCTCGAGCCGGCCGTCACATCATCTCAGCAGTTTCCTCTTTGCTTGATGTAGTGTGTCACATCGGAGCGGACAGCTTCCGCTCCAGAAGGGCTCCCGCCCCGTCTGCCTGTGAGCTCTTTCTTATTGTTAAACTCCAACCACACAGACACATGTGGAAGGAAAACCACGTCAGAAATATGCCCCGTGAAAACCTTCGGCTCTGCATGCACTCTGTGTGAGGCCATTCGTTGGGCCGCACAGGTAGTCCCGAGAGCAAACCCCTAAACTGCCCCTCTGCCACGCCGCTCCAACAGGTATTTGAACTTTCTGTATAAATGTAGACACGTGTTTGTCACAGGTGTGAGACCGAGCCTTGTAAAGCAGGTTCACAGGTGGAATATTTAACCATCTGAGCGCGAACACCTTGCAGACAAGAACACGCAGGTGGTCGCGTTACATTCAGCACGGCCCACCCGTGTCTGAGCCCCGTCGGGCCCACTCAAGTTCAATGAAGTTCAAATCAATCACGTCACTTAAATCCAAAATATCTCAGATGCTCCCGTTTCTTTCGTATTTCGCCGCAATCACTGGAATATTATCAGCTTTACCAAACTCAACACATCTCCCAGAGACGCTGACATTCAAGAGGTTCTGGTAAACTGGTTCTGGGGTTTTGTGTGTGTGGTGTGGTGACGGGGAGCCTTCGGGTGGTGGTCCTGACTGGAGGTTTGGCAATGGGCCAGTTGGCTGGGATCCGTGCAGGGCTGTTAGGCCTCCGTGTTGATCCTCTGTGGCTCTGCTTTGTGTTGCAGCCGGTCCAAAGGCTGTTTCCTAAGCTGTGGCTCAGCCTGTTTCTTGTGAAAATCACTAAAATACAAGTGTTTCCTTTAGACTCTCTAATTGAATTTATCCAAACCGCAGAGAGCCCTGGACTGGCCGTCTTTCTCTGTTTCTGTTTACAAAGTTTTTAAACATTTAACATTAAAAGACTCAAAACTCAATTCAATCAAATAGTGAACATGAGAACATAACAAATCTTCCCTTTTGATCTCGACAGCAGGAAGCGACGGCACCGGTGCCGTGCCGTCGTCATACGTCTTGAATTGGTAGCTGTATTGTTTCCACATGTGAGGCCTCCTTCTGCGCTCGTCTCTAATTGACTCGTCATGAAGTCGCCGACAGATTCCAGGGCAGCGGCACAAACAGCTTCTCGGTGGTTTGAGATCTCTCACGAAGACCTGGGACACGTGCGATACAACCGCAGTTACTATCTTTTCTCACGGTGCCCCACAATTGCTTCCACTTGAACCCAAACTAGCCACGGATTTCAGTTATACAATTTGGGGATTTGCGCCACGTTGATCCCTGGTGAACTCTGGTGATCTCTGGTGAATCTTGAAACCATCACGCTGAGACGTCAACAACGCTGGCTTTTCTCATGTGAGTGAGACGGGTCGACTTTTCGCAGCAGCCTCTCTTGGTTTGGGAAAACATAGTAAAAAAGGAACTTTACTGTCCTTATTAGCTACTACTCAATTAATTCAACTGCTGCTCAGGCAAAGTATTATATTCAAAATGGGTTTAGAAAATTCAAAAGAATGTAGTTTTTCCAGAATCAGCTCTCTCTGGTTACGTTGGATATCCATCAGCCTCCCACATAAAGGTAAGAGAGGAACCGTATTGTTCTTTAGGTGAACCAATCCCTGATGTAAGACGAGCGTGTCAACGCGTACAGTTCTGCCGGTATTTAGCACCTGTTTGGAAAGATCATCCTCTTAACCGCTAACACTTGTGTTTCACTCCAAAGGAACATTATCCCTCGTTACAAGCTCCTCTGACACCGTGAACAAAAGAGCAGTGGACTCGTGTGACTAATGACACTATCCTCTGACGCTCAGTCGGCTCCAACGGTTTTCTCTGCAGTTCATCAAAATGTTGTTCCATAAAAATAGATGAACTTGCCGTGTATATTTTGAAATGAAAGTAACGGATGCGGAAAGCCGTGACTCCTGTGCTCCACTAAAATTCAACATGCCACTGATTTTGATTTAAGATCATTTTCATTTTATGAAATTATCGGTCTTGCGAGTTCCCATTGTAGTTACATCATAATGTTACCATGGTGATATGTTCAACATCCAAATACATCAAAATTCCAAGCACAAGGGATGTAACATGTTTAATGAATTCAAATGTCGGAGTGCCTGCAGAGCAGAACTGCAGAAACACGTCTAACGGTGAAACGTCAGCTGTCAAACTGTATTAATCAGCGGCTCATGAGCCTGACGGACGTATTAGCTCTGGTTGCAAAATGTCTCGCAGTATCGCAGGGCTGTTTATAGAGATGATGAGTTGCATGGAGCCCTGTGGTTGTTGACTCACAGACGGGCAAAGGGAGGACTGTGAAACGTGAGAGGAGAACGATCAGATATCCACCGGACACATCAGCTAAGCAACATCCCTTCTCGTTTTCACTCACTACGTCATTGTCTTCTCTGGATGGCCGCCATCTTTCAATCATGCTCTTTTCGTTAGCCTCCCCTCCTCTGCCAACGTAAGGTTTAGCTCTTTAACTCCATAGCGCATCGTCCACGTGGATTTCTTTGTGTTGTAATCACTTATCTTTCATCCTTCCGCACATCACTGTTTGCCGCACCGTCCTTTTATTGTTATGGGTACTATGCTTTACTTTAGCGTGGGCGTGGACACTCCATCCTGTTTTTGTCATTCGATCACATCAAAGTCTATTCTTTATTCTTCCTTCATATATTACAAAGGTAAATCCCTGATGTCCCGTCCGGTCCCTTGCCCCCCCCACCTCACAGAAAGGTGACAAAGATTAATTTCTGTTAATGTAAGTAAAACTCGATGGTGTAATGTTGTCTGCTGAACTCCTCCACAGCCAATCAGAATACACTGCACTGTGTACAATACGTTTATTAATAATTAAGTTAGACAATTTAATAGTAATTACTGTATAAAAATAAAGCTGTAGTTGTTTCACTTCTTTCATTTACACAGCAATTCATCCAAGGGAAGGACACAAAATAAGCAGCTAATAAACGACTATTCTTTTAATCAGGAGGGCAACATTTTTTTATGTATTTTCCCTCCTCATAGTTAAAACCAAAAACAGGATATAATGCATTCAAATATAACAGAATAACTGCAACGTTGTAAAGGCTAACCCACTGAGGATAGCTTACCTGGGCAGAAGAAGAAAGTTAAAGGCGTCCTGTGGAGTGTTGGACTACTCGTAGTGCAAATGAGCAGTGCTTCATTTGCTAAAGCAGGTGATGACGATTCCCACAGCGTCCACTTTAAAGATATTTTTTTGTCAAATCTGATTTGCAAAATGTTTTATCAGGAGGAAAACCTTTTAAACTATTTTGTTATAAATCAAGGCTACACAACGTATTTGGATGAGAAACACTGGCTGCACTCGTAACTTTGACTGTTTACAAGACAACTCCACAGGGCACCTATACATTAGTTTTGCAATGTAAACCACCCAATATGTTACTGCTTTACTATTTATAAACCTTTGGCACACTCTGAGATATCACACTACAGTAATAAATAACAGTTTACCCTTTTATAAAAACAAAAAATAAATATCAATAAGTTAATAAATTCAAGACCTCATAAATACATTTAATACGTGTGTGTTTCCCACGTACCATACTGCATGTGCTATACAGGTAAAAGCTTAAATCTGCTGAATCATCCGTTGTTTCTGAATAATATCAGGCATTTGGGTTGAGTATCCTTGGAAACATTAAAAAGATCTCTGTACGCATCAGCGACGTAGAGATGTAAACTGTATTAAGGAAACTGTAGCTGTATTGGAGGAAGATGAGGTTTATTGCTTTGGGATAAAAAGACACCTGCTCCCCTTAAGGATTCCTTTAGCGGGTCCTACAGGTGCCCACATACTGCCTGAAGGTTTTCCTCACAGCGAGACACGTCAGGAGAAACGAACCCTCGACAGCATACAATCCAAAGGTTGGGATCAAACGTGAGAACCACACAAAGCCCGACACAAGCTCACGCTGCCTACACACAGCCGCACTTCCTCGCAGAGTGCTTCCTCACGGTGTGGTAGACCAGGTTGTCGTCCAGAAACGAGAGGTCGTCGTCATACGCGGTGGGTCGACAGCAGGCCTGGGGGGGCGTGTCTTTAGGGGGAAGCCTCTTGTTGTGAGCGAGGTTGTGAAGGATTTTGTCGTAGTTGGTCTCCGACTTCCTGCAGGGCCCCGAGCAGTACCTGAATATCATCTCCTCGCTGGAGCGGTAGCCCAGGCCCAGGTCCGTCACGTTGAGGTGGATCTGTTTGAGCGCACAGCCTTGTCCTCCCCTGGCCTTCCTCGCAGCTCCCCCGTCCCTGGCTCTCCCTCCACGGCCTCCACCCCTCCGCTGGGTCGCCCCTTTCCTCCTCTGCCTTCTGTTTCGAGTGCTGCCGCTCACTCCTTCTGTAGAGGGCGAGGAGGTGGTGGAGAAGGGGGAGCGACGCATTCTGCTGATGGTCCCTTTGATTAAGTCCACCATGTCCTCAAACTCGCTTGGGGTTGGTTCCTCCGTGGGGTCTGAAACGCATCAAGAAACTCTTACAAAGGCGTTTCATATTTGACAGCACATCGCTGTCAGAAACTGCATGTGCATGTGGAATACATGTTGTTTGTGGTTTATAGAGAGGAAATCCATCCATTTGAAGTTAGAAATAGATTCCATTGTTAGTCATGCACCAATGTTGTAAATTCAAGTGGACTAGCTGCATTAAATATGGAGATGCCAGCATGTGGCCCCGTGGAAAATATTACTTGTGATAGAATTAGTGGATTGACAGTAAATCCTTTGACAACTATTCCCATTGTGTATGGCAACAAAATCAAAATAATCTTCGGTTTCTACCAGTTGTGAAGATGTGGCTTTATGTCTTTTGTGAGGAAGTTCAGTACAAGAAGAATCTTTTTAGGTCCAAGTAATTTGAAGATTAGAGAACTAATCCCCCCCCCCCTCCCCCCACCACAAGCAAGCACCTGAATCCACTTGGAAGTTCCACTTTCTTCAATCACTCATCACGGACTCTAAAACCCTTCCAAATGAGTTGTGTAGTATCGAATTCAGTCTAAAATGCTAATTTAAAATACAAAATAAAATATATTTTTTCTATTTGACGCAGACAATATTATTTATTCTAAGAAAAAAGATGCAACACTCAGCTCAGCCAAATGACTTTTACGGATGTTGTTTGGGGACTTTGGACACTGCATAAAAAAGACACGGGCTCTTACGTGCGTCTCCCCCCGCCAGCGTCCCTCCCCAACCCGCGCCGATGCTCGGGGAAGTGACAGAAAGGCGGATGTGAACCGGCGGGAGCTGCAGGGGGATCTCGGGGGCGCGCCCGTTACTCTCGGTGGACGCGGACCGCGGTCGGCTCCGGAGCAACCGGCCGGCGTGCACGGCGCTGAGCAGAATCAAACAAGTGGTCAGACCGTCCCATAACTTCATGGTCCAGCTCAGTCCGACACAAGGACATGGCGCGGTGACGAATCAACGGGGATCATCTGATCGGCGGCATGCTGGAGACGCGCGGCGGTCGGGGAGGAGACGGGGCCGCGCGCTCGGCTCGGGGCTCCCGCCGCTAAAAACGCGATGGAGATCCGAGGTTGCTGTTGCGTGTGCGCCGTGGCGCAACATCCAACGAGGCAGAGGCGCAAACTGCAAAGCAAAAGGATGCTCCCCCCCTCCGCAAGTTTGCGAATCCAACGATCCAACACTCTCAGTTTTACAGATGATTCGGCGCGCACGGTTCCACGTCGCTCATCCCCGATCACCGTCAGTCCCGAAGTGAGCCGTGAGGCGAAGGAGAGGTCTGACCGGATAGATGGGGAGGTGATGGTGACGTCTGATGGTCCATCCTCTGTCTCTTCCAGTCTCCACCTCCATGCACGCGGGACGCAGTCCAGATCCATGATTGACTCCCAGGTCCAAAGTTGGTGAGGCTAGAGGGGTTTAGTTATGAAAGGGGATCAGTGTGTGTACTCGGATGGCTCAGAGGGAGAGAGAAGTTTCACACTTTCCACTATACTCCCGATTCCACATCCTGCCCTTTGTGTTGGGTTGACATTGGATGGGAAATGTGCTTCTAATCAGCCAGTCAAAACAGGCTGAATAGATTGTGTTGCTAAAACCAGAGCGCCCCGTAAAACCCTGCTGTTCTGCAGTTGATGAGCGGATGACATTTATCATCAAGGGAGCGCGTGCTGGTGTCCATTACGGCAACAGAGAATTTTGCCAGTTGAAACGGTTATTTTGGTTTGGTTTTGCATAATCGCTGATGTAAAGTGGCATTTTATTAATTATCTGGCGCGAGGCCTACGTTTACTTGACTGGAAAGGTACAAGAGAACATTTAATAGACATGAAATGGTGTTTGGTTAATGCATTGTGTCAAGGTTTTATACTGTAACATGTTGTTGCAGAGACATGCAACTGACTGCATGGATCAGCATCCCGCACGTTAAATGAGTGATCCTTTTGATTAATAACTGCAAACTGACTTTCGAAGCCTGGGCTGCCGACCAGCCACAGTAAAGGAAAGAACTTCACTTTGAATGAAGCTGCAGATTAAATCACATTGTGCATCAGCCTGCGCCAGGCTTGGGTTCCAATTACATGAGCAATCGTCTCTATCGTTGTGTTTTTTTATTAGAGAGAAGTTATGTACTTCTTACCAAAACTAGCTATGGTTTGGACATAACTTTGTTTAAGGGTCCATGTCCTTTTGGCTAATTTAAGACAGAATTATTCAAACTTCATTGCATTATAATCACTTAACTATAGCAGGCATGCAAAAAACATCTGAGCATCAAAATACGCTGCAAATGTAAAGCTGCATAGAAAAACAATTGTCTGTTGCCGCTTGTGTTTTTAGAAGTTGGACCCCCTCATCAATCAGAAGAGGCTCCTCGCCCCATAGCACAGTTAACTGTATGGAAATACCTCATCCTCAAGGTATTACGTCCTTGCGAGCAGCAAATACACCAAACAGATGTCATTTCCCCGTCTTGCAAGGCATGAGGGCTTATCGGGGGCCGATCTGCAATTTAATCTGTCAGCAGTTTCTGGGGCTCAGTTTGACTCACATGTAACTGGACTAATTGCAAAGGTCATTTCACCCGTCATTATCGGCCATCTTGAAACTGCAGCTGGGAGCGGGGAGTTGACAGCTGGAATGGATGTCGGATTTGGGACACTGCTGCCAGTGTAATTAGCAGAAGAAAACAAAAAATAGCCTTCATTTACGCATTTCAGGGGGATCCTTAGGGGGGAGGAACATCTGGCTGGTTTATAGCCGAGCGAGATGCACGGCCCCAAGGACGGAAATGTTGGTTGGTCGGTCAGGACTTAAAAATCTATATCTGTTACAACTATTGGATGAGTTGCCATGAACGGGCTCTGGACTGGTCCTCCAGTACAAAAAAATATGTTTTTTTCTTTTTACTTACTCATATAAGTGTCTCAGAATGATGGTTCGCAGGGGAGAAATCCCAATGATTTTGGGGATCCCTTGAGTTTCCACCTGGAGTCCACGTGAGTTCTACCTTTTTGTTTGTTGAATAGATTTTTGGTACACGTGCACTTATGTCCTTATCATGATGAATGGAAATAACAGTGTCCATTACATAACATCTCCTCTGGTGATTATGACTGGTGATTTTATGTATGATGTAATAACTGCAAAATGGCATTGCCATCAGCTTCAGCCTTCTTTTGTTTACTCCCAATTAGCAAATACTAACATAATCCCATCACCACATATAAGCATTGTGAGCTGACATGACATGGCTGCAAGCCTTTAGTCTTGGTGTACGATATCAGCCAGGGGTTATGGCTCCAGGCCAGGAACACCTGATCAACCTCATGGTGCACCCTTTGGATTCCCTTGAGGACGTGGAATTAAACGTAACATTTAAAATGAGAAGTTAACAAAAATAAAACGATTGTCCGGTAACTCAACTGGTCTATAAGCCTCAATTTTCTTAATCATGTCACTTCGTCGTACACGCCGTTATTTAGAGGAAGTAAGTAAGAAGGTCCCTTGCTGATGATTTTACCACTATTCATGGAGGTGGATGGCTGTGGGGAGCCACAGCAGTGCTTAGAGAGTAATCCACACCATGTGTACTCTGGTGCTGCTGGAGCCGCGGGCCATCAGGCCACGGGAGCTGAGAGAGTGGAGGCCGTCTGCTGAGCTGAACCGCTGGGAGTCTCAGAAATGTTAAGATGAGGTCAAATGCACTTCTTACTCCTTGTTGCTCTCCGGTTAGGCGATGGGTGGGACATTATTGCCCCGCTAGCTGGCCATGTAAAACCTGAATGTCAGATTAGAGGTGGAGAACATTCCAATCGCTGATTCCTGACGCCGCAATGAAAACACTAAACCTCCAGATGTGCTGACTGCTCATACATATGTGCATGTAGGACTTACATGTTGCCACTTGTGGACATTGCAACTATTACGGTAAACATATATAACAAGTTTTCAGTTGTGCTCACACCAAAGAAAAAATCTCTGTTTAAATACAACAACTTACACACTCATTTATATTCTAATTATTACGATGATAATGCTCCACGTGCAATGAGGTATTGACATGAAATATGTCTTAAATATCTTAACCTAAAAAGTAATTTTCTAAAGTTTTTGCTGTAGGGGTAAGACAGCATAACAAAAGTGTGTAAAGGACAAAACAACTGATCCAAATAAAGACTGAAATTGATTTTTCTTCACATCATTAATGATCTTTGTGGTTCGGTGAGAAAGAACCAATGAGTACACATCGCGTCACATACAGGCTGCTGTTCTTCTCATCGAGAGAGATAATTTTCTAAACCAGCAGTCTGGTTTATTTGCTTGTTTCTAATTGAATTAAAGAGTTACAAATCCTCTATTTATTTGGATATCGCAAATATGAAAGATACGTTTGTCAGCTTGTCAATGTTATGTGAGCATAGAGGACTTACTTGGCTTGACTCGGCTCTCCAGGTCATTGTTGTTTTTAAACTGTTTGTGTTTGTCCAGAAGGTGGAACCAGTGAGCTTCCCATTCCTGCAGCCCAGTGACCATCATCACAGAGTCAGTTATTACTTAAAGGGATTTCCTGGACCTTAGTGAAATATAAAAGAGGGTGTTTTATGGGCATATTGACCTTACATTCCTGTCGCGTAATTGGATTCCACAAAGGGAATACTTAAGAAAAAGAAAATGCTAAAGATGTAGGAAAATTTTCCATAGAGCAAGCTTCCCCTTGTCCTCTGAAACAGTGATGATATCTCACTCTTTGCACGTGTGTGTCTGTGTCAGTGTGTGCGTGTGAACACGTGGCAAATTTTAAAAAAGTAAATGCAGCAATTTACAATTAAAACACAGTCGTATGGAAATATAAGAGCTGTCACGTCAAAACCTTGATGAAATGATATTCTGTACAGTCTCATAATCACCTTCTATGTCCTAATATCCCACATCTATGGTAACGTCAGAGTGGTTATGATTAATGAGTATGATCTGTGCTGCTGCACCACTCAGGTCATTATAACAATGAGAATAGTGAACATGCGAAGCTACACAAGGTACTCGGCACAGCAGGAAGAAGAATGACATTCGGTCTTACCAAGGCTGTGTTGGATCAGAATTAGATAAAAGGATATTCTTTTATTTTGAGCAAATTGATGGCCTGAGTAGTTATTGAATTTTTCATATTGCTTTGTATGAAAGTAGAATATAGCTGACTTAAAAAATGAGGCGTAAGTAGATGAGATGATGACAAATGTTACCTGCAGGTGGTCAGATTTTTATCCTACAATGTCTAATCCAACATAACATAATGTAATAAAATTGTATCCGTGTATCACGTCTACTTAGCATTGTTTGAAGCTGATTAGGTGCAGGACATTCTGAATTGAATTTTCACCAAATCCCTTGCAGACTTTGACTAATAAAATGAACTCGATCAGTATTAAAAGTGCCTGGCACCGTTGTTGAGTCCTCTACCTCTTTGACCTTCCTTCACAATAAGAATGCATCTGATGATTTGGCTCAGCTCTCCTGCAAACACTGCTCTCTCTGTACACACACACGCGTGCACGTCACAGCGTGCACGCGTGTGTGAGTTGACCCACGCTCTCCTGCAAACTTTGCTTCTTTGTGTCTTTGAGACAGCACAGATCACTTAATCAGCCGGGCAGTTGCAGTCACATATTAATGCCAACAACAAGCTCTCTGGGGGGGGGGTCGATTAATGGATTCATTGTTTCGCATCCTGGTCATTGTTGAATGCACGCACAGTAGTGTCTGTTGTCCCCTGCTTCCTCGCCATAGGCATGCTCTCCATCTGTGTCCAGTGTGCGGATTAGAGGCTCGTTATCCTCTTAGCTCTAAATGGCCCCACGTTGCCCGCTCTTCGTTGTCCATCTCAACCGGGGTCTAAGACGCAGAGCGCGCGGCGCGACGCGAGGGCGAGATTCACGAGAAATAAAAAAACAACAACAACAACAAAAGATCCGTGCCCAGTGTTGATTTGTTTTAGTCGTTGCGCGTTACGCGCGAATCCCTCTCCATCGCCTTTGCGCGCGCCCGGTAGCTGTCAGTCGGGGCGCTATCGCGTCCGCGTGTCCAGCCCACTGATCTTTTGCAGAGTGTAATCTCATCAGTGTCCCGTAGCTGCGCGCTTCCGTCTTTCACTGTCTTCGGACGGCATTTGCGCTTCAAGCTGGATAAGGAATATTTTTTTTATCAGGGAAAACTTTTATCAACAAAGGGGTTAAGCTCCATTTGCAGACACCGGAACGTCTGAATGTGTGATGAAATGTCCATTTGAGCGTTTTAAACTTTTGACCGGAAGAAGACATGGAATCGACATGTAAAGAGAGGAGTCTTTTATACTTACTTCTCTTTGCAATATGCACAGCTAGCGTTTGCTTTTGTGCAAGAAGATCAAATGCTCGGAGATCTGGTGAGTTTTTACCCACTGACCCATTTTTTACTTTTCCTATGCTGACACAGATCAAATAATAGTAACAATTATAATATTTTTAAATGTTGTGGATAGGGACAGCATTAGCTTCTGCCAATATTTCGATTTATATAATTCGACAGCCATCTTTTACACTTTGTGACATCACATTTATGTTATCAAATGACACGTATCATATTTTAGCATTCATTCACAACAATCCAAGTGATTTTAAAAGTCTTTAACCTTCTCGATGGCAACAAAAGGTGGAAAACATGAACTTTAAGTTATAAAAAACACCCCATCATTATCTCTCCACCTGTTTTTATATAGAGTCATTATTAAAGAAATGTGTCGCCATGCAGTCCCTTCATTGCAAGGTGCTTTTTAGCCACTGATGAGCAGTGCAGAACTGCACATTAACCATAATCGGTGAGCTACAAATGAAGTAAATTAAATTGACATAAGTTTCATGGCGGGGCAGGGCACGACTTAACACATTGTTTCTGTTGATTACCAAAAAATCCAAATATTTAACACATTTTCTTATATGTAAATATTTGCCAAAGAAAGAAAGACTAGATCGAGAGCCCATTCATGTTAATGTGCTGCCTATAAATCCCTCCATGTTGTATTTTCATCACCACAGTGTCTTCTGTCTCCCTCCCGTCTTTGATTCTGTCACCCAGAACACTTTTTCCATCCACGTTTCTTCCCTTTACCTCCGCTTTCCCTCTTTCCATCACTTCCTTTTCTCTGGCTGTCTGTCTGTGTTTGGCTGTGAGACTTTCAGACCCACCGGCTGTAACGCTCTAACTATCTGTCTGTCAGGAAACTCACAGTTTGGTTTGCTAAGCAGAGGATGTCGGCAGTTCTGTCGTTATGACTTCGAGGGACATTTGCACTGGTTTTTTTATTTTGTTTTGAGGCTTTTCACTCTTTTTCTTTAGAGGCAGGGCTGGATGTCCAGTTGAATCACGTCGGCCTTTTAAACAACAAAACTGGTTGTACGGGGAATGAGTCTGAATGGCGTCTCTCCCCAAGGTGGTCTTACCTTTTCAGGGTTTCGACAGCTCTCTCCCCGGTTAGAATAAGTCGTTGAATTATTTATGGAATCATTCAGTAGCTCGCACTTACAGTGAGCTAGTTCTAGACGTATTAAATTGTCATGAAAATCATGCCTTTTATGGTAAATTAAACCATTTCTATCCCGTCAATCGGAGCAGACAATAGTGTTTGGAAAAGGAAAAGATAACCAACAGGAGACAATATTTCACACTTCATCCTTTCCGACTCGATAGGGTTTATAGATTATTACCCAAGCCATGCTGAAGGGCAGCATAGCAGCATGTGTCTCAGTGATCACTTCAGGATGACTCAGACCTGGAAAGAGCATCGCTTCAACTTGACTGGCTGAAAGTGGTGTTATGGAATCAGAGCGATAGAGCAGGTGTTTGTGTCTGCAAGAAGGAATCTCAACATTGGGCCGTTGTTGATCAAGCGCGAGCAACAACGTTGAGAGCCTCCTTTTAATTATTAGAGTGGTATTAAAGTGAAGTATTGAAATACCAACACAAACGCTGCTTGAAACTCCTTCAAAGCTCTCATCAACTTAACACTTAATGCCAGTTGAAACAAGGCCCCATAACTGACGAAATGAATTGAATCGGTACTGGGAGGGACCGTTGACCGTGAACTAAAACTAAACAGATATTAGCTTCTTGTCGTAGCGTTTCTGTTTTGATTGGATTCGCCATCTCGATGTTGAGCTGCTTTCCTTCTTAATAAATCATCAAAACCGCACCACTCCGCTCGCCTCCCCGTGATCGAGTCCTTCCAGCCGTCCTGACTGTGACGGATTTAGAGAGCAACGAGTCATTTCAGCGAAAACATCACAGAACTGTGGAAGTGGGCGACCATGGCAGTTTTCTAATCTGCCGTACTTACGTGCTGGGTGGGTGTGGAAAATCGACATATGCTCTTCGCTGTCTGTGTGAGCAATTTCAGGTGTGCTTTATCACGATGGCTTGAAAGTGCATGGCGTCCTGACGATTGGGCCTCCCGTGGCCTTTTCCTTATCAGTGGGCTCCAGTGTATCATAGAGGTTTGCACCCGGCCCGACCCGTGTACCGACATGCGCCGTATTGACCGGGTAGAAGTGGCCCCTCGATCTGTTGAGTTCAGCTCACCCGTACCTTCGCCGGTCCGCACCCCTGGGGAGATATGGATGATCAGGGAATTCAGCTGACTTATTGGATTACCCGCTCGGTTGGAAGAGCGAGGCACGCAGAAAGGGTTTCAAATAAGAGTAGGAAAAAGAAGCAGAATAGCTGTTGAAAGGATTCGGGAGGTCGGCATGGGAGGCAGAAGAAGGGAGACGCGAGACGAAAAGCAAACTTGAAAAGAGCACCGTTGTAGCTACATAAGATTTCCATTTACAGAGATCTGTCTTGCTATATTAACCTTCTGTTTCTATATCCTAGTTTATACCAGGGTAATCTGTGCACCTAGACCAGACCAGGCTCGCTAGAATTTACTTATATATATTTATACAATATAATATAATAAATAATATGAATTTATAAAACATCATCTTTATCTACAATATTTTCTAAGGAGCTTCTTTATGGTCTTGCTGTGACAGTCCACCCCTTTGTGCAAATGTTAGGACATGAGATGCATGTCTACTACTCTATAAGGGTCGTTATCTGTTCATTTTTCTTCATTAACGCCAGGTAGTGTTGATGAGCTACACCTCCACAGCCCTTTCTATTTTGTCCATAAGAGGCTTTTTGTGCCATAGTTGAGCACTGGAGGTGCAATCACATTTTCTTGAAGTGTCAGACGAGCACCCACTGATGCAACCATGGAAATAATGACATTTGAAGTCAGAGTTGGGTGATATTAGATATTGTGTCATATTTATTTTCCTGGTTACGCCATTTCAAAGGGTCCGCTGGTCATTCTTTAAAGACTACAAGGTGAAATACAGAGTGAGGTGTGTTCATATTATCCTGTGTCCTCAAAAGGTGTTTTCTTCTTTTCCGTCTTTATTGAACCGCCAACTGTGGCATGAGAAACATTAGACATTAGTGTTTGCATTGATGAATGTATACTTTGAAACATAGGCCTTCATTTAGAGTTGCGTTTAACGGTTTCGGTGGGTTTTGCAGTCCACCAACACTATTTCAATGTGAAATATCTAAAGCTTCACTGTACTCCTCAGCTGTTCTTTGTTTGGTGCGCTTAACAGCTTTATCAGTCCCCTACTGCTAAAGAAACTGCTAATGAGAGAGGTGAGAGAGAACTAGACTGGTGGGCAAAAAAAGAAAAAACAAGATTGTAAAATACTGTAAAGCTGGGAGAGAAAATTTTGTAGGTTCATGATATTTACAAGCCACATATTTACCTCTGAGACGTGTAACATTGAAAAGGTTTAAGCTTTATCCAGTTGAATTTGTATTGAATCTGTATGCTGATATAAATATAAAAGATTGATTTGATCATTCTGTAAATATTGGCCCTAAACTGCCATGTAAATATAACATCAATCGTGTCTGGTTCTGAACTTGTTTCCCTGCTAAGAACAAAGAGCTTCTAGCTGTAACCTGTCACAGTGACACATTTACTTCATCTTCTGTCTTTATATCGTCTTTTGCCCTCACTGATCATCTCTGCGTGTCTTTGTACAAACCAGATCGCCTGAGTCCTCCGCTAGACATCCAGCTGGAGACAGTCAACTGCACCGCCTTCAGTGTGCGATGGAAGATGCCCCGGCGACACGTTAGCACCATCACTGGATACAAGGTTCAACCCAGAAGTAGCCATGATATATGTGATTGTTTCATTTCTATTTGAATGGTCAGACTCAATGACACATCTAATGGGTTACTGAAGCACATGTATTCTCCATCTCCTCCAGTATTTAACATATTGTTCATGATATTCTGAAGGTGAGATGCTACAGTTTGCATTAAGGTTTGTCTGATACCACCCGCACATTTAAAGAACTTCTGAGGCAGCACCACCCGTTTGGAAACAGTAAAAACAATCGAAAAAAAGAGGAGAAAATTACATTTTAAAACCAGAAGATAAAATAATAGCTCTTCAATCCGGTAAACATAAAGATGACTAAATGGCCCTGTGCAAGCTGTGGCCGTGTTTGGGTACCGACATCCCCCCCCCCTGCTTTTAAAGTGCCCGTCAAACCAAACCATGTCCAGCAAGACGGCCTTGAGGGCCAGATTGACACAACTAAATGTCTGGTGTTTTGATGGAAAACCTTTCCCTGCCAAATGAAGGGCTTTTATGGAGCAACATTTGCTGTGAAGGTCAAACATCTTTATTTTAGTGTCTTGAGCACATGTTTTGCTCCACGCTGGGCTTCGGCCACTAAAGTGGGATTTGCTATTCTTGATAGAAATTTACTGATATGCGTATATACTGATACTTACGTTATATTGATCAGAATGTTTAATTGTCCAGGCTTTTTATTTTTGTTGCATTTTTAAATTTATTTTGGAATGGAATATCAAGCCATATCATAACCCAGTTTCCTCCTTTACTTTCCTCCTTCTTTCCTACCACCCTTTCTTCCTCTCTTTGGTTTTGTTTTGAGTCAAACATTAACACAGCGTGGATCGGTATGAGTGTACTCTACTTATGACCATATGTCTGTACTAAGAGGATTAGTCAGCTCGCTTCCCTGCGACCTGTTGATACGCATGTGCGTTCATTTGGCCAATCACTTAAAAAAGTAAAAAATCCTGATAATCCTGATCCCTCACAGTATTTCCTCCTAATCAGGCAATTTTTGCTTTATCAAGGCTGTGACTTAATAATGGAAGATAAAAGGAATTTCTCATTTTAGAAAGCTTAGAGCCACGAATGGCTGTAGTGATGAATCTGAGACCTTTGCAGTCAATATGTATTTGTATGCGTTTTTGACTGTGTGTGTGTTTTTCAGGTCTTCTACACAGAGATGAGGAATGGCCGTCCAATGGCTACAGAGTCTTTGATGGAGGTGCCTCTCAGCTTGGACATGCTGACCACTGTGAGTACACTGGCTTTTAAATGTGCAACTCTATGTTGGAAATCAGTGGTAAACACCGTAGAATATTTCTATTATAATCATCACGTAAACTTTAACCTACAATTTTGGGAATATCAGCTGTTTGCAGTGTTGATTTATTAGTGCAAAAGCAACCATTATCCCTAAAAATAGGAAAGAAAAACAACAACAAAATGAAGCTGGCAATCTCAATCAATTTTTCACAGCCAACAAATCCCATGAGACGACAACAAACGGATCCTATTAATAAGTATTATTTTAGTAGTCCAGTACTTTTCATTTCTCTGTTCCATTGTTTTCCAAAAACTATAACCTGTACTTTATACTGCACTTTAAACCTACAGCCTGTTTATTTCTTTTTTTTAATGGCTACTTTGACATGGGGGACTGGTGCATTATTTTATTTAAAATGCACTTATAGCCTTTAGTGTTTGGCGACAATGATCATTAAATATATCATAAAATCTTGATATCATCTCATACTAACAGTATGTACTTCTGTTGCTTTTTTCTCTAAAGGGGCAATTTGATGGACAAGCCAGCTTTGTGAGTATCATTTAGCCTTTTTAAAAATAAATTAAACCGGGTCAGTACTTTCTTATAAAGCTCAACATCAATATGTATTTACTTTCCACTTTTGTCGTCTCCCCATTCTTCTCCCAACATCTCTCCTTCTTTCATATGGCCACTTGTATTTTCTCTCACCCTCGAACCATTATTGCTTATACGCTTGTGCTTAATTTATTTTCTAATTTATATTTTTACCTCTACACCCACTCCCCCGTATGCCGTCTTCAAGGACGTGGACATCGGTAACCTCAAAGTAAACACCAAGTACCGGGTGACTGTGGGAGCGTATGGTTGGGCGGGGGAGGGGAGACCCAGCATGCCCAGAGACATCGGCACCGCCTCACACGGTAAGAATATGTGAGTAGTAGGGATCCATTCTACCGCCGTCATTGCCAACGCAGCGTTGGTAACGTCTTTAACTGAATTACATTTCTTTTTCTGTTCCGCTAGACAAGTGCATGCCCCCGTCGCCCCCCACTCAGCCTGTGGTCATGGCTGTATCTGACACCGAGCTGGCGTTGTCATGGCAACAAGGAGAGAACGAGGGAAGTGCACCTGTCCTCCACTTCCTGGTGGCTTACATCAGGTCAGTTTGGTGATCAACCCCCAAACGCTAGTAATTGAAGCTGAATGTTCATGAAACGCCACCAGCTCAGTGTTGCTGCAAACACTCACGCAGGCTTATGTGCACAGGTCATTTGCACTGAATAACACCAAGGTCACATGTGCAAACGCCATCAACCCAGCCCGTGGAGATACTCAGCGGGTGGGGAGTGGTTTTAAGGGGCCACTTCATAGAGGGAGAGAATAGGCCTGAGATAAAAGTCACGTTCCATCACTGGCTGTTATCTTCTTGTTCATTCTCTTAATTTATAAACCGTCAGATATTCCCCCAGAACAATACTTCCTCATCTTCTATGTCTACACAGGTTGCTTGATGACTTAATGATTACAAATGTGTGTCGTGGGGCCAAGCATCAAAGTTTTAGTCAATGTGCCAAGGTTTCAATTTGGAAAATGGTGCAGAGTTGTGATACTGCACCCATTTAAATCAAGGTGTGAAATAAATAGTTTTGGGAAATGTAGTTACACTTTCTTGCAGATTACGAGATGCAAAGAAACTGGTTTACTTAGCTTAGTAAATAAAACAGCAGGCTAGCCTAGATTTCTACAAACGTTTGGAAACATTAGTGGTGCTAGCAGGCTAAATGTTTCCCCTCGCATCGACGTTTATCATCACCAGCATTCACACTCATACACGAGTTCTTTACAGACGTTTACACGTGTGGCATGTGTAGCTGCACATTTAGCCTCCCTCGTTACATTGCTGTGATTTCCTGAGGCCTTTAAAGGTCTTTCCTATTCAACCATTTGTGCTGTGACATGAGGATTCATGGAGACACAAGAAGTCTTGTGGTGTGCAGCCTCACACACACAAAACACACTCAGAAACTCACACACATAAAGGACCTCTATTGTCCAGATGGGTCCTCAGCTACAATGTCAAGGAAGCCTGAGTTAAGTTGCATGGATTATTATCATTATGTGTCTGAAACAAATGAAATAGGCAGATACTATTTTACAAGTACCCGATAAGAATTTAAAAAGCAAGTAAGAATAAGAAAAGATGCAAGAGGACGCAAGCTTTGTGGTGCACAGTTAACATTCCTTGACTGAGCAAAGAGAAAGAGACAAAAAGAAAGAGACGGAGGCAGAGAAACTGTCACGAACTGTGACAGAGCAGACATGAATCACAGTCTGTTTGTGCATGCAGGGGCATTTTCGACACAAAAGGGCCATTTCGGAGCTAAATATTTCACCCCTTACTTCAAACGAGGGCTGTCTGAAGAGAGACATTGATCGGCGGTGAAGATGACTCCATTCAATAGATAGTTGTGGCTCCAGGCGTCCAGAATTATCACATTAATATGGCAACTGGAGATGGAGGCTGGAGATGATAGCCAGAAAAAAATAGAGCTCAGGAGTTCATGATTGAGCTTTTTTTTCTCAACTTTTCAAAACTACGCTCTGATGAAAAGCAGAAAATACTTTTAAGACTTAAAGGGCCTCAACAATACTAACATAGAAAGAATGAAAAAAAACATCTCAAGTGATTTGGCATTTTTGAAATCACTCGCTGTTGTAATTGTATTCCTTGCAATTGCAGATATTCATGGCAACACAAAACAGTCATCATCCTCAAAACAATGTGTTTGAAGATGTGTTGAGAATGATAATCTTTGTCTGAAGATATTAACAAAAAAAAGATCTTTTAAAGAGCACTTTTGTGCAATGTTATACTGTATAATGTAGTAAATCATGTATATAATAAAATCATTTAGGGTCAATTTGTTCCTTGACCCCTTAAATCACTCACTAAACCACAGAGACGCCTCTGGTTGGATTTGTTGATTTACAAAGTAATAATATTCTTCTACCAGCAAGAAGTGTTGTAAATGGCACAATGCTTTTTCGTATTATATGCTGTTGTCTGTCATCTGTGACACCAAATATAGCTCAGTAAATAATGCATTTTCATACCTTTTTCCATAGGCCGGAAATGGATACAGAGTGGACGTACATCCGTGAGCCCATAGAGACCAACTCCATGGTTTTGAAGGGGCTATTACCGGAAACTGAGTACCAGTTTGTTGTCAGGGCGGCCAACCTGCACGGAGTGAGCCCCCCCAGCCACATCAACAGCCCCGTGCGCACTCTCGGTAAGGCTGAGCGGCGATGTGGCGGCTTCGTCTCCTCTCGCGTGCTGTTCTTGTTCCAACCACATTTCAAAACCAAGTCAGTTTCAGTTTAGTTTCGACGATACACCCACACAGAACAAAACAAACTGTGCTCATTTGTTCCATTGCCAAGGTTATTGTAACAAAAATACATTTTTCACATTCAAATGTTCACTCAAATTTACTACTAACAGTTTAAAATAAATACAACTTGCCTAAAGCTTTAACATATCAACATGTTTTGCCTTTTCTCAGATCTTAGTTGACCTTTCAAAATTAAAATATAAAATTTGAGCTATTATGGAATATTATAGTATTTTCTTCCACCTAATTTCTTAAAATTCAATTTATAGCATTAATTTAGAAAAGAGCAGCACTGTTTGACTTGAATGTGGGACAGCACCTGGCTGTGTGTCAGTGGAGCCTCGCATGATGGACATGTAGAGCAACGGAATCATTTACTTTAGTATTTTTTATGTGGTCGGCTGCTGGTGAGGGGTGTGTGTGTGGGGGGGGTTGACCAGGCTTGATTGATATTAAAACACACAAACACACACTATTTCACACAGGTGTGTAGCACAGCTGTGCACACATGCATTAATGCCTTAAACGAATGAAGGACTATTTAAATCAAATAATAATTATATTCTGTGTGTGAGTGAATTTCTGTGCAGATCAGGGTTTAGGATTGTGTCTAGATATGACTATTAAAACCAAACAGCCACGTAGACACAATCACATTATCCGGGCGCTCTGTTTCTGTGACCTCCAAACTGCTCGGTTGACTTCGGAAAGCCGTGTGTGTGCAGCCGGCTTCACGCGCTTTGTTGGCTGTCAAATTGTTTGTGAGCTGCTCTGATGGAATCACGTCCTGCACTGCTCAGAGATGGAGGCAGAAAGACGGACATGAAAGGGAGGTAATGTTCAAGAGTTACACGAAACGGCGATAAATGAGCCAGTTGGAATCCGAGGGAGACGGACAGACGGACAGAAACCAAGAGAGAGACCAGCGTGGATTCTTAGCGGGGGATGAAAGCGGGTTACGCCCGAGTCTCATCAGACAGGATTAACGACGGGATGCCAGACCCCTTCCCTGCCCATCCACACGCCTGATGGATGCACATTCACAGACACACACACACACGCATATGCACGCACGCACACACACACATGCACGCACACAATGCACCACTGCTTGAGCAAACAGCAGGGGTGGGCTTGACTGACTGACATACTTTTCTTGTTGCTCTCTGTGACTGTTTTTTGTGTGTGTGTGTGTGTGTGTGTGTGTGTGTGTGTGCGTGTGGTGTGGGATGGACTGAGGGGGATCGTTACACAACAGAAGCTTAGATTGTTAAGGGCTTTTTTGGACATTCCCCCTCTGTACGCCAGCTCTCCGTATCCAGGATTTACTGTCATTAGGCCGTGTTAATTAGCACTTTAAATCTCGGCATCCATTCAGATCTTTGTTTTGTCTTAAGGGTTTGCTTTCCGCAACTTAATACATTCCAATTTCCTCACCTGTTAAACATGCAGTATTTGATGTTGCAGGTGGGAAGGTGTGTGAAGGAGACGAGAGGTAGGGGATGTTGTGAATTTAGCATAGATGAAGCTTTGTGAAGGAAGGGTGGATGGCAAAGTAGGTAATTCATAGAACACAAGCATCTTAAGAGTCATTATATATGCTACCTAAGGCCTTTTATTTATACCTACCAAAACGTGAAACATTATTCAATAACTATGAACGTATCAAAAGTCTGATCATTAAAAATCATATTTGTCGGTATTGCTGTGCTCACAGCATTCACTGCTTTGTGTTTGAACATCATGAGCTGCCGCCGCGTATCTGGGAGGCGCGTTTCAGCAGCATCGGCACATGCAGACAGAAGCTGTTACTTCTATCCAGCGCCTGTGACACGGCATCAGTGAACTACTGTTACGTCCTCATAACCAGGACTCGGGCGTCACCCTCCAGTCACTTCATCTGTGCCTCTCTCCTATGAATTTGACACTGTTGTTGCTTGTTGTCGGGGACGTGTTTCATTGTCATTTTGAGGTCATTTTGTGGTGATAAACGTCCCTCCTGAGGCGGCTGTTCTTCAAGCAGAAACTAGGAGCACGTACTTAACAATTAGGCTGCTGATCCATTGGATCAATTTCAAGTTCTGTTAGGTTTGGAACACAAAACAAAGGACAAATTGTGTCAAAAGCCAATGTCACTCCTGATTGTATGAAAGCAGCCACTTTCATGTGTTTCAGCGGCTTCACCTACATGTTTACAGCAGCGATAGCTTTGATAATCTGAATCAAATCTAATGTTGACTTGTTTCATTATTCAACTACCTTTGTTTCACCCTTCAACCACCCCACTGCAGTCCTCATGTATCTGTTATATCTGCCCTTGAACTGTAACAAACATGTACTGACCATCCAGTATGTGTGACATTGTGAACAGGCGCATCAGATGTTGGCAGTGGTGATTACGGCCGCTACATCACAGATTCAAGGATCAAAGACGAAGATGGCTTCGACCTTGATGATTCTGATTATGATGTCTTTATTGAAGAGGTGGGTTACTGCACACCACAGAAGGACAGTGACACATTTTAGGCTAATTGAATCTTACAAACCATCATCCTCTTCTAGTTGAAGCCATTCCCAGGTATCAATCAATCAAAGGACAACAGGAAGTCCCAGCTCCGTTCCCGCCCGGATCCTCCGTCGGGTCGCAACGTTGTTTACCGCATGAACACCATGGCTCCCAACGTTACTGCCGCTGCAGCTTCCTCCACCAACTCGCCCACCTTCCCAGATTCTCCAGGTCGGATTTTCTCAACGACCTCAAAGCCCGGTGTCACTAATGACACCGCAACTGCTGCCCCACTGACCACCAACGGGTAAGACGTACCCCTCAATCTCACCCAGATTCCTGCTTATTTATTTTGAGGAAACTTCACTACAGGAGTAAAGTCCTGCATTTACAGAAGTTTGCCTCTGGAGGAGAAATTAGGGGTGTCAAGAAGAAAATCACAATTCTTAAATGCGGTACTCCTGCATTGCTCTGAACATCTTTCTCACTAAAACGTATCATCCTAACTCCTGTGATCCACGTTAGCGTCCCGTTGTCCACCACCACGCCGCCCACGTCCCCCTGGAAAGGTGAGGTTCCCCGGCTGTATGCGCTGACCTGCGACGACACTGTTTGCCCCCCCGACAGCTTCTGTCTCAGCGATTACGACGGCGGGGGCTCGCGCTGCCACTGTAACCTCGGACGGAGAGGGGACGCCTGCTCCGACGGTGAGAGAAGCCTAGTTGGGTACCAGCTTTTTGTGGTATCTGACCTGCTCAAGCGGGCATCTCCTGTGCCAAGGTGTCTGTGGCGGTCCAGGTTCAAATCCAATGGCCACTGCACGCCGCCCCCTCTCTTTACCCCTTTCACGACTACGAATAACAGTGAAAATGTCTAACGCGTCAACCGTTTGTGTCTCAATCTCCACAATTTATCAGCGTTTCATCCCTTTTTCAGCGGTACCTGTGAACTTTCCAAGGTTCTTTGGGTACTCTCACATGACCTTTGAACCCTTGAAAAACTCTTTCCAGACATTTCAGATCTCTTTCGAGTTCAAGGTAAAGCACCTTTGTTTTGTCCCCAGTTGTTTTTGTCATTGGCTGCGGTGAAGCGCTTCAAACAGTCTCTCCGTGGTGCAGGCAGAATCTGACGATGGCTTGCTGCTCTACTGTGGAGAGAATGAACACGGACGTGGAGACTTTACCTCTTTGGCTCTGGTGCGAGGCAAGCTTCACTACAGGTGAAGAAAACAGGGACTCTCTTATGGGTTTAGATGCTCTATGTAAGCACAATACATCGTCAGTAAGGTACTAGAACAAGCAAAAGACAATATGTGTGTTTTTGCTGTTTGGAAAGGTTCATTCCTAACATGTAATATCTCCCCTCAGGTTTGACTGCGGTACAGGAGCCGCCCAGATAGTCAGCGAGAGTCGCGTTGCGGTCGGTCGGTGGCACACGGTCACCGTCTTCAGAGACGGCATGAGCGGCTGGCTGCGTATGGACAACGACACCCCCATATCAGGCCGCTCGCAGGTACACAATGCCACACGGAACTGATTACCTTTTCTTTACACAATGTAACAGTTAGATGAGAGGTTTTGTGCTTGGACGTGGCTTATCGAAGAATAGGACATCTTTAAAGATGGAAAAGCTTCTTTTTTTAAAAACATTTTAATGAGTGTGGCTTGGATCCATCACTGCCTTTCTGTTTTTCACTACACATTTTGTTCTCTCCACTCCAGGGCCAGTACACCAAGATCACTTTTCGCTCGCCGCTGTACGTGGGTGGATCCCCGAGTGCTTATTGGCTGGTCAAGGCGACAGGGACAAATCGTGGCTTTACTGGCTGCATTCAGAGTCTGACCATCAACAACAAGGCAACTGACATCCGACCTTGGCCTGTGGGCCGAGCTCTGAGTGGAGCTGATATAGGTGACGCATGCGGCATGTGCAATCAGTGTTACTGTTTATTGGCTTCCGCCGGCGGTATGTGGTCTTTACCCACGTTACCCATAATGCACTGGTTTTACTCAGGCAAGTTGTTTCGGAGCAGCTAACCCACAGTAGAAGGAAACTATACTGTATTTTACCCTCTAATTAAGCAGGCTTCATTTGAATTTAGTTGTCTATTTATACAAGTTATGGTGTGAGAACATCAATAGAAATCTATCTCTTCAGTTCGTAACCACCTAATTTCTCCTCGCCACAAGGTGAGTGCAGCGACAGCATGTGTGACCTGGTCAGCTGTGCCAACGGTGGAGTCTGCTTTGCAAACCGCGCCGATGGCTTCATCTGCCTGTGCCCGCTCGGCTTCAGGGGAGCACTTTGCGAGGAGAGTAAGTCAACTCTACTTTCATCTTCACTCTTGTGGTGTGACCGGTTGAACGCAACATGAAGGAAAATCTGTGGGATTGAAGATCATTTTGTTTCATGCAGATAGGGATTGATTGAAAATCAGACCAGCTTTTTTAACAAAGTACGAAATAGGACTTCCCTTTCTCTTCCCTCCTCCCCTCTTAACTCTGAATCATCTGAAACGCTCACACCTCGTCTTCCGGCTGGGCCCAAATCCTCCTTCTCTCATTCATTCCCGCTCTTCTTTGCCATCTTCTCTCCCAACTCCTCAGCCTTCTCCCTGTCCTCGCCGCTCTTCAACGAGACTGTGTTTTCGTACGCTGTCATCCCCTGGCCTCAGTCCTATCAGAGCTATCTGTCCTTCATGGAGTTCGAGCTGACGTTTCAGCCGCTGAAGCCCGATGGCACGCTGCTGTACACCGATGACGCCGGCAGCGGAGACTTTCTGGCTATCAACCTCGTGGATGGATACGTAGAGTTCAGATTTGACTGCGGATCTGGAGGAGCTACGATAAGGTGTTAAATAGATGCACTCCCATGCGATTCTCTGCCTCCTCAACTTTCTCATTTTATATTTTAACTGGACGGCCTTTTAATGTGTGAGATGATCTGTGGTGCAGGAGCGAGGAGAAGATCGGACTGGAAACATGGCACGAGCTGAGGGTGTCGCGCACAGCAAAGAGTGGCATCCTTCAGGTGGATAGTCAGAGACCAATGGAAGGAATCGCTGAGGTATTATGGTTTTTCTTTGTTGCATACAGCTGCAATATGTCGGCAAAAAGATGAAGAAACTCACTTACTTTGTACACTGACAAGTTTTGCGGGGCTGCGTATTTACAAATTTGGCAGATGCAAAGCAACATACTCTTTTGCAAATTGCATTTGCCTCGATCAAGAAAAGTCTGCCTCATAAATTCATCTATTCATTTGCAAAGATACCACTTTAAACACATTGAGTTGGGTTTTGCCTTGCTAATATACCATCATGTGACCTCACAGGACAAAAACAAAATACAGTTTTCGCAGTATGTTATTAAGAAAAACTTTATTTCTGGCCAGAAATGTCTGTTCAGACACCCGGGTGCGTTTCTTCATTTATTAATCTGTGTTGAAGCCTCTTTTCCATTTGAAAATCGATGTATAATGCATATTCCGGTCGGGGGCAGTCGCTTTTATAAATTATCTTTCACCTTGAGATGCTGCATGTTTTTTCTGACTATTTCCACTCATGCCTTCTTTATCAGGAGCCGTGATGGTTGATGGTTGGTCTGGTCGGTGCATTCAAAAATGAATCCCATTATGCAGTGTGTATTCTTTCTTTATTGGTGCTTGAACTTTGACTCTGTATATAAATGCCCATTTCATATATAATTACCCTGTTGATGGCCTCTAGGTGAAATACGGAAGACCCTCTCTTTGGTTTCTTTTGTCTAAGCCACCGACCTAAATATCATTCTGTTTGATTTACTATCAAGGGAGCTTTCACTCAGATCAACTGCAGCTCACCTCTTTATATTGGCGGAGTACCAGAATATGACAAAACCAAGAGGACGGCGGCCGTGATGAAGCCCTTCACAGGAATTATCCAGAAGGTATTACCCTTCTTCAACTTTTTTTTTTCAATCGGCCATACAATTAGTTTGTCATTCGTTACATCTCTATCACACTGGTAACAGGTGAGCAATAGAGAAACGGATATTTTAAGTAGACTTTGTTCATGGTGCATATATCATCTTTCTGTCTGGAATGTATGATTTTCATACCCTTTCTTTCCTCCTCGCCTTCCTTCTCGCCGTTGTCGTTTGCTTTTCTTTTCACATCGACAGCTGATTCTCAACGACCGCACCGTGCCGATAACCACCGGCTCTGCTGGTGGGTTTAATTTAGCAAATTCAGCTCATCCATGTGTAGAAAGTCCCTGTGCCAACGGAGGGACGTGCAGGCCAAAGTGGGACAGCTACGAGTGTGACTGCCCCCTAGGGTATGATGGGAGGCACTGCCAGAAAGGTCAGTTGGACAGTTTTTGCTGTTTCTTATTTTTAGCACGGTAACGTTTTCGGGGTCTTTTTCATTCAGTGTTCCTGGTGAACATCCAGAATAAGCGGCATGTTTTGTCCAGTTAAAACAGTTGTCAGAACATCCCAGAGGTTAATAGGACATTGATGACGTGTAGGAGAAGAACTGCCAGTTCACAGGCTGGTGTTTTGTGATTGGGGAGCAACAGACATATTAAAGGTGTCAGATGATAGATGATATACATATAAGTCCAATCAATGTGTGGTTTACACACCGCAACGTATAGGTTTTTATTGTTGCCCTATGGGTGCATTAAATATACATTTTACACTCTGTATTTTTATGGCATACTTAGTTTAAAAAAAAAATATTATATATAATAATATAAATATACATTATATATTATATATAATTAATTATATTTGTGACTTTAACCGCGCGCCATTATTTTTCCTTTTCTCAGAGATTAGTTTGAGATGTGTTTTCTCTTAGCATATAATTTAATACAAAAAGATACATTGGAGAACCTAATCCCTTCATGTTATCTATTCCTTCTGTTTTAATGCTTTCGCTGCTCAGAGTGTGGGAATTACTGTCTGAACAGTAAGTTTTCAGACTTCTAGTTAAGACAGATTCGGTAAATACTTGCAGACGCTGACACCTTGTGACGCTATGAAGTAAATACAATGTTCTTTCTCCCCAGCTGTGACCGAAGCCATCGAGATCCCGCAGTTCATTGGTCGAAGTTACCTGACGTATGACAACAGAGATATCCTGAAAAGGTTTGTAGTTTTACAGGGTTTCTAATGTATTTAGATACAATATCGTGCTTAAAGTTTTAATCTTGTGTCAATCACACTTGCAAGTAAATTTCTCATTACTTCTCAGGGTGTCCGGGTCCAGGACCAATCTTTTCATGCGCTTTAGGAGCACGGCCAAGGACGGCCTGTTGCTATGGCGAGGAGACAGTCCAATGAGACCCAACAGCGACTTCCTGTCCATGGGACTTCAGGATGGCGCTCTAATCTTCAGGTAAGTGTTTGCATAAAACAGTACGGAAAAAAAACAATCCTGCTACGTGTATCTACGTCCTCCCTGTCCTGCTTACCCCTTTGATGCGAGCAGGAAAAAGGTCAGATTTTAGCAAGAGAAGAAAGTTTAGTGTAAGAAGAGGATGAGGATGATGGGGAGAGACGCTGATCCCACCGGAGGGCAGCGAGCGTTAAGCACCCAGCGCAGGCAGAGCTAAAAAAAGACCTCCAGTCTTTGGCAGGACCACGACCTGGAGGAGAACCAGGGTGTATCCGGGCAGCGCCGTGCAAACGTGAACTCAGCTCCACTCCTCGTGTGTGTTTCCACGTTGCTACAGTTATAACCTCGGCAGCGGTGCGGCTCACGTCGCTGTCAACGGGACCTTCACCGATGGAAAGTGGCACAGAGTCAAAGCTGTGAGGTAAGCTCTAAAAAAAAAAAAAAGAAATCCTGTCAAATAGAAACTGCGGTAATCACAACATCTGTGTCACTTGGCAACAAGCAGAGGAGTGGCAGTGCGTTGTTTGTTGTGATCACTTGGGGAGAGCAGAACAAGCGGACGTATCATCTCCTCGTCTATTGGATACGCTTACATGCAAACAGATTGGCAAACAAGTTACTTTTTTTTGCACATTCAGTACATCCATCAAAACAGTAAAGAATGAGCTAAACAGTGAGCTAAAATAAACTGAAATACTCATTGTGTGCTCTCCCAGTGATCGACCCCTTACACATGACACAAACATGTCATATGTAAATATACAGTAATTTGGTAACCTGCTGTTTTGTCCACGACCGATTAATCAAAAGACGTCATTTTAAGTGCTTAAGATTTAGTTTCTTTTGTTATGTGAAAACAACAAAGGTGAAATGCCGTCACGCTTGTATACTTATAAGTGACCTCATTATCTGTTTAGGGACGGGCAGTCGGGGAAGCTGACAGTGGATGACTATGGAGCAAAGACAGGCAGGTCGCCTGGAAAGATGAGACAACTCAATATCAACGGACCCTTATATGTTGGTACGTGGCTCTCAGCGCTCACAAGTGCTGTTTGTGTGCGCGTGTGTGCGTGTGTGTGTACGGCAAATCAAACGGTGGTTTTAATATCTGCATTTGTGTGTGTGTCTCCCCTCGAAAGGTGGCATGAAAGAGATAGCTCTGCACACAAACAGACAGTACATGGGAGGCTTGGTGGGCTGCGTGTCCCACTTCACACTCTCCACTGATTACCACTTAGCACTGGTGGAGGACGCCGCCGACGGCAAGAACATCAACACCTGCTCCAACTAGCACAAGGCTTAAACATGCGATGCTGCGTCTTCGGGGACATTTTCAAGCGGAGCGAACACCTCGACCGGGCGGATCTGTCATCTTGAAACCGATTGAAAGAATATGACATGTTGGCCTTTGCTATTCAGGGCCCACGTGGTATAAACGCGACAAAAGTGTGAAAGATGTTACTTTGAGTCACGAAGTGGCTCCTGTGTACAACGTTTGCAAACCACCGTTGACCTTCCAAGTTGTGCGTTGTTGATGAATTGCTCTTTTAAAGAAAAAAAACAAAACCAGAGGATATTAGAAAGTACTCTGTGAGCTTAAGCGTTATGGGTTATGAAGGTCTTTGAGGGACAATTTCTTATTTTTCATGGGATGATTACTATCATATCTTTGTTTTTTTTTCTACTGCAAATCCTTATTTGATTGCTGGAAGAACCAAGTGATCCGCGGGAACAAGAGTCATCGCAGGTCTTTCAGGAGCCTGACGTAGAGCAGCTAGCAGAAATGAACTTCTTTGTAGAGGATTTTTGTTGTTTTGTTGCACTCGTACTATTGTTTGTGGCGTATTATCAGTCCGTAGACTACATTTTCTTTCTTTAAAGTGCAATGCTGTCAGTTTTTTTTAAAGGTTGCTAGTTTTGAAGGAGAAAGATGTCAGCTGCCCACAATCTATGTTTCTGTCCTGGAGAAATTGTGCTTGACAGTTAAATCACAAACCACTGCTCGTGGACGTCAGCCTTCAAGCTATTTTGAAGCTAAAATTGATCTCTTACTTAAACATTTGCAATTCAAGATTGTTCATTTGGTTGCAATGCTTGAGCTGCTTAAAATCAACTTTCTGCAAATGATCCCGCTATTGTGCATAATTAATCTTGCATAACTTAACTGTTGTTTCCCCCCCAAAAAGATTAGCGATATTGTCAAAATAAGATCAAGAGCATACACCTTGTAAGTTTTAGCTCTGAACAAATCACATAATAAATTGTCAGTTATTACACAAATTGACTTCTTGAATTTATTTTGAGGGGAATGAAAGAAAGTCAGTGGCTGTTGTGGCATTTCAACGCGCTTGTCACGTCTGAAAGGAATGTCAAATGGAATCCAGCGTGTGAATGTGCGACGTGAAAGGGAATGAGCGACACGGGTCGAATGGTTGGAGCGTCCAGTGTACAAAATGTAACACGTGTTGAAACATGTTCGTCAAACAGCTGCCAACCGTAGACTGTAGGAAGTTGTTGCTGCAGCATCTGTGACGCCGTCACGTGTCAGTGATGTCAGATAATCCAGAATCCTGCAAAGGGACTGACCCGGGTGGAGTTAAACCGGGATAAGCAGGAAGCGTCACGGCTGAGGGTGCTCATCTCAAAACACAGTACTTACTACTGAAGCATTAAAATGCCCCATAATAATCCCATAAAAATAAAATAAAGAGTAGTTTACAGGCATGAAGAAGAGTAGACAAGTACAATTTGTTATATGATGAGAAAACGATTCCACGGTGCTGCTATTTAAATATTTCTTTTACTAACTAGAAATGTTCATTCTGATGATAGATGGCACATTTGACAGCTCTCTGTATTGAATGCTAACCAAAAAGCCTGCTTAGAAGTGAGCATTTTTCCATGTTCGGGAGTGTGCTCCACATTTTATTTGGCTCACAGGCTCAGATTAAACACAGAAAGTGGCTCGGTCCCACCGCGCATGTGATCACTGGGCGTTTCAAACAGTATCACTGGTGGAATTAAGGAAACCTTTAAACACAGAACAATCCTGACCTTATTCAAGGTCCTATTAGTTGCTACACTTGAGTTTGTTGGTGGTGTTGTGAGGAATTGTGGGACTTGTTCATCCAGAACATTTTTTAACCACATTACACAAACAAACACACAGGAACATTGGACAATGTTCAGGAGAGGGAGGGTTGGTATGTCAAAAAAGACACACTGACTTTTTCTGAAATTATATTTTGAATTCCCGTCATTATTTTTCAGTGTGGAGGTCGTTTCAATCCCAACCAAGGTTGGATGATTGACGTTACAGTTCCAAGCATTCTGGTTGCTTTGTGACACCAAAGTGGCAGCAACCTTTTTTTTTCCATTGTGCTTTCAAAGTAGGGTGTTTTTTTTTTTTTTTGGTCAGCAGCAGCACAAACCAGCTGTGAAGTATTCGGTTGTCTGAAACGTTTCTCTCTCTCGGTTTGACATGAAGAAGGAAACTGTTGCGCTTAGATTCCACTCACAGCTTCATCATGTTAATGCAACCATGTCACAGATTAAGATTATCCTTCTGATGCCAGCTGCCAACAGATAACCTTCCTCGTCTTGGCACCACGACCACCTTATTGGCACATTGCAGGATTTTATTTTACATTTTCTTTTATAGTGTGACTGTTTGTGTCCTGACTACCAGTCACACGCAGGAATCACACAAACACATTGCACTCTAGGACATTTTTCTATGCCTGAAAAAGTACAAGGTTTAAGGTAACCTCTCTGAACCGCTCCAAAGACGCCACATTTCCTTCACTTGTATTAATTTGGTTTTATCTAATCGTTCTGTATTTTCCGTCTCTATCAACGCCGTAATCAGAACAGTTACATAACCTGCGTTCCAACCCTAATCTATTTTTTCACTCAGAACATTAATTTTGACTTGATTACCATTAAAAACAATCCTGTTACATACACCAGTATCACTTTAACCTCCTCCTGCTCTACTCACAGCTGATGCCAAATTTTAAGGGTCGACCTGCCAGAAAAGCAGAAAAAATATTTTCAGCAATCAACGATAACCCTTCAAATGAACACACTGACTCCTGATCTTTAGGAACAATAAAACATAAAGCAGCTGAAACGATCATCGTCATTGCAACATGCTGATTAAAACAAAACTTTCTGTGTGACATAGTTCTAATAATCAACATACTGGGGATGTCTGCAACGCAACGGTTGACATTTACGATGAAATATTTGTAGGGATTTGTAAAGATGCGATAGGCTGAAACAAAAGACACATAAGAAACATTAAAAAACAGCAAATTTTGGTTTCTGAGTAATTCAGCCTCCAGGAGATGAACGGAAATAACAGTAGATGCCATATGACCTTTGACTTGTGACTTGTGCACAAATCTTCGTCTCGTCTCACGTAAGGAACATGAGGACCTCTGGGGATGTTCTACTGCATCTCTATTTCTTGTGTTCTCTTTACAGAATACACTATTTTGTCCAGGCAAATAGGGATACGTGTTTTTATGTGACCGAAGTAAAAGAACATAATGTACAATAACCGCGCATTGGGAACCAATAACCTTGCAAGTGCCACATCAATGATTCAGTAGTCAGGTGGAACAAAACATCATCACAATATCAGGCTCTGCTGCAACGGGCTGTACGAGCCACAGCGCTTCTCAAAAGAAATACTTTTTTAAAATCATGAATGATGAAAGAGTACAGTTTATTCTCAGGGAGATGTAAATTTAAACAGATGAATGCCAGAGAGAACAGGCCCTGGTGTCCGGCTGTATATTTATTAAAAGCACAGCCGACTCCTCTTAGTGTCAGGTCCTTTTATTTGTAAAATCAATAATACATATGATTGACAGATAGTGTGAAATATCTGGGAGAGAGGGAGAGCCTTACTTGTATTCTATGCTAAGTTCAGAGGTATTCTGTTCGTTTTCTCCTTCTTTATTCCTGTTTCGTCATTAAAAAACAGCAAAAAACAAAAGATTAGAAAGTTTTAAGGACACTCAGAAATACTCTTACAAATGAAAAACTAATCCTTTAAGCCCGAAGATTAAAATTTACAATGCATTCAGAATACTTTTTTTTTTAGGACTGAATCTAGGACTGACTTAATGTATAAATAAAAAATACATATATTTCACAACAGTATTTTTGCTCAGAGAATGAGCAAGTCTGTCTCACTATCACATGATACTAATGGCTCTTCAGGGTATTCTCAGCTCACTTAGTGCCGCTTCCCGCCTGTTTCTCATATTTGCTAATTGTGAAGAGACCCTGGAGCCAATTGTCACAGTAGCTCCTCAAAAAAAATCTGTTCTTTAATGACCTTTTTGGAAAAAAGCATTATTGTGTGCTTTGAAAAACACATCACCGCTCAAATTCTATTAATAATATAATTTAGTAAGAGGGAGCCAAAACGGCACATCTCCATCTTTCTTTCTAAAGTTGCTGTGTGTTCAATACGATGCTTTAGATGTGAGACGTGGTGCGTAGTCATGTGATTTTTCATTTAAAAAAATGAAATCGACAACTTGGAACATTTGGTTTTTATTGGAGCAAAACCTTTGAGACAAATTCTGAGATGTTTCGTAATGAACACATTTCATGTTTGGAAAATCACAGCAAGAACATGTTAAATGAATAAAAATGAATATGTGTGTATTTTCCATCCCTTGGCTCAGTCCTGTGCTTCATTCTCAACATCCAAACTGCTATTCCGCCGTCGCTGCTGCAGCCTCTAACTCAGCCTGATGGATGGAGGTTTCATGCTCCAGATGCTCTGTTTTGTTGCTGGCTGTCCCACTGGTGCCCCGTGACGACACGCCGCTCTTCTCCCCGACACCAGGAGGTTTCAGCCCTGGTAAGATGTCCACAATAACTTTTAGACGTGAGGGAAAAACATCACGATATCTTTTGAAAGCCACTTGTCGTTTTTCCAGTTGAATCAAGCATAATGTCATATTCCTGGAAATGTTGACGATTTATTGCCCAGATTCTGCACGAAAAAAGTGGAGCCTGAAAAGAGTTTCCACATAGATTTGACTGTAATCTTCATATCAGTGGAAGTATAATTAACCCTCTCAGCAATGAAATAAATTATGAATGTACCTTTATAATGCATCATGCAGTCTTTTCCATTGCTTTCATTATGTGTGTTCAGTCCTATTTTAATACATAACAAAATGTCTGCAAAGAGAAAAGCTGGGACACCGTTACAGACCTGAGTGGCCGTTAAAATCATTTGAGACATTTCAGACAATTTACTTTTTAGGTGTAATTTTCTCAGAGTACGTGTGAATATAAGAGCTTTAGTCATTATGGGGACACCCTTTGGCTTTTGTGATATTTGATACTCTACCACACCACATTTATTGGACTGGATTGTTATCAAGCATACTTTTGTCACCACACTTCCAATGTCTTCTTATATTAATCTGTATTGTATGTATTTATCGCTGATGATAAAGGTAATCCATTACTTCTCATAATAAAAGAAATGCAACAGATAGATTCTGATTCCTTTAAAGTGGGAAAAGTAACGATGACAAGGGGAAGAGGTGAATTGATAGACAGAGATTCAGTTACATGGTTTTGCTTGTTATGGACTTTAAATTCAACCTATTTAACGGAGATTGTGTTATGTGCTTTTTCCACATTATATGATTTATAACCTAGATTTCCCATATGGTGGTGAACCAAAGCCCAGCCCCCAAAGAGGCTTAGGGCATGCATTATATTTGACATTTAAAGCTCTAATACCATATCTGTCATTTTCTGCCTGACTCCCATCTCTGGTCCACAAGAGGCTTCACTTGACATAAGGGCCTGAAGCCAGAGGAGAATGGCTTTGAACAACCAGCTTAGAGAATTATAGAAAGAAAGCACACGATCCATATGCAGCCAAAGAAAAGTTAATGAGCTGCATTAAAGACAGATTTCCCCGATTAGAAATGAGATCACAGAGACAATAAAAATAGCCAATAAAGCCAATAAAAAGTCAGGGCAGGGGTAAGGGAGCGTTTGATAAGTTGATTGTTCTCTATTAACCCAAGGCCACTCCTCAAAAACATGAAATGCCAGAATGAAGTGAGTGAGTGATTCCCTGAAATTACTTTTTGAGTAATCTTGGTGCGGAAGATGGGACACAGCAAGAGGGACTGATTACCAAAATGTGCACATTTAGAGTAAATATCCATTTGGAATGACGCAATTAGACCTTTGACAGAACATATCAAAACGTCTGAACACTGATGATAATAAAGTGGCACAGGGCAAAGTTAGAGGTTTTAGTAGAGACATCAAAGCTGAGTCTTCCAACCGACCATTTTGTTACATTTGATCATCTGTGCGCTTTGAAATGCTCTCAGGTATTTGTTCTCTTACTGTAGGTACGAACTCCATCCTTATTCAAATGCATTTCTATTCAATACATTCAACGAAAAACGTACACAATTGATCAACTCATTGAAAGCCATTAACCTTAAGACGAAGGAAGAGTGCAAATTGTCCAGAGACATCAGAATAACCATTCCTTCCTTATATGCACTCAAACACACAAGGTGAGACATCATCTATAAAGGTTTGGTCAGAGTGACACAGTTAGCTAACCCCAACATCGGCAGCTTTTGTTAAGTGTGCGCATGAGGTCGCTTGGTGTCTTTCCGATGTGTGGGAGTGTAAAGGACGTATAGGAGTGCGTTGCTACATATTGAACACATCATGTTCTGGTGGTTGTTTATGCAGGATATCTTGCAGGTTATTTGCAGGTAACGCAACTACCCGGGACCTCTTTGCTTCAGGAGGAAAGGAGGAATTGTGAAATAGGCAACTTCATGTTGCAGAGAACTTCTGCACCTTCTTGAATGGGCTGAAATTGATTCATGCATCGAATCACACTCCACAACCCTCCTGGTGCTTTGTACATTATCTATGACCTGCCTCCCTCAGTAGTGAAATATTGATCTCCAACTGACTTTTGGGTTTGAGGACACAGTCCTGGTCACATGGCCAGCACCACTCAATAGTAATTAGTATTTTTCCATCGTCTGCCAAAAGCTAACTACAACACACGATTCAAACCAAAGCCACTAGTTTGTTCAATACTAATAGAACTCATTGACATGTGGAATTCTGACCTGCTTCGCTGTGTGAATGCAACACCACTGATGCGTTTTTCCATCCAGACAAGGTCACTCATCCAGATGGTGAAACAGAGAGGAAGCTACAGAGAAGAAGATGAGGGACATGGACTTATAACCTAACAAAGGAATATGTAGAAACAGGAATATATTAAATGGAAACACTTTGGAAAACATTTACCAACAGATCAAAGCAGGCTCTTTAAACTATGAAATGCTTGAAATCTATGAAATCCTATGGATGCTTTCCATTTTGAAGACATAGTAATTTAGTAAACTTTACAAGCCAAACAACAATTGTGCTGAGTTGTCAAAAGTCTGGTCTGTAACAGGCTTTTATGTGGAAAAAAAGTCAGTCAGGCAAATCAACATCACATTTCACCGGATTTATGAATTTAAAATGGTGTACTTCCTTATTAAAATGTGTTTGACATTAGCATTAACATTTACGTAGCACCAGATGTACTGGTGTACAGTTCCCTTCTGTGCTGACGTAAACTTAAACCAGTTTAGGCTATCAAGCCCGGCAGAATCACTGAGAACATCTGTTGTGTGTGCTTTGGGAATAGGATGTAGTCCTCAAATACATATGTGAAAGTGTGTGGAATAATGTGTGGAAAGACGCACACGCATCTGACAAACAATTACATGTTGGGTTCTTATTCCTATCAGATCAAACACTGATCCACATGCATGCACAGGGCGCAGATTAAGGCTATCCCTTGCTGCAGAGGCTTAGTTCACACATCTGTCTAAGCTCTGAATCCTTCACCTCCCTTTATTCCCTTCATCTCCTTTACAACATATCCAGCACCATAAAAAGCAATAACCATCAGATGAGGCGTGCTTCCTTCCGATGTCCCGTCGGCAGTCCAAAGAAGAATAAATCAAAATGTCTGTTTGCCCTTTTGAATTGGATCACGATGATATTAGCACCACAATTAATGAAGTTCTTCGCTGGCATCGTTTTGTTTGAATGGAAACATAAATTGAAATTGTGCATTGAACAACCAATCCCCATTAAAAAGAATGTTCATGATTTCACCATAATACAAAAAGAAACCTGAGTGAACAAACGAGAATTAGATCATGTGATAAGCATTTTTTTCCACGGTTGTACTATAGGGGGAGATTAAGAGAAAGCCTTTGAATGTGCTTATTTAGATAAATTGTACAATGGTATTTCCCTTCCACTTTTTTTTAACAAAAGTGCTTGTTTTGTGCGAGAAGTGTGTGCATGCAGGATGATGCATGCCCTGTGAGCTGTGGTGAATACGTTGGGAATGGGAAGACCAATTACTGTGATTTCATGAGTGATCTTAAAATATCTGTGAGTTGGGGACTGTGAACATAATGATGCCGCCGCAGAGCGAGCACTGTTTGGGCGAGGGAACATGCGCGAGAGCTCGCCTGCATGCATGCAAGCAAGAGGCTCCACAGACTGGTCAGCCTGTTAGTCGGATGGCCGTACTGCATGCGAATCAATAGTCATGAAAGGTGACGTGTTTGCATTGTAGTGTGTACGTATAGTTAACAAAACTGGCGGTTTTTAATGCCTGTTAATACTGGTAGAGTTAGTGAACATGGTGTCTGTTATGTAAGAATGTCTTAGTTAAAGGGTTAGAGCTCAAGGCTGGGCTGTATTACATGAGGGGTGGGGGAGAGGGAGGGAGGGAGGGAGAGAGAGAGAGAGAGAGAGAGAGAGAAAGGAGAGATGGCAGTATGTTTGAGGAGAAGCAAAAGCATGACAAGAGGGAAGGGCTAAGAGAGCAACGAAGAGCAACATGGGAGAGCGAGAGGGAGACGCATAGAGGGAGGTGAGCGGATAGGACAGAGACAGGCCTCCGATTCGGAGCTTGTTGCACGGCTGGTGTGGATGGGCGAGGAGGCAGCAGGCTGACGCCGAGTGGACGGACAGTGACAATGTGCAACGAGTGGGGGATTTAATATACATTACCAACTCGGTAACCCAAGTGTCAAACGGGACGCATTAGTTGGAGGACAATTTGTTGAACCGCAGACCACAGTGGATTAACAGAATGGATTCAACATTTGGTTCATTTGGAGATTAACTGGTGACGGCACGGCCACGGACGGCGGGCAGCACCGAACACGGCTGGACGAAGAAGTAAAAGAGGAATTTTCCTTTTTTTTTTCTACCGACAACATTTATAATATGAATTGACATTAAGTCTAGATAACATTTGGAATTTTCCAAAATATTTATACATTTTTTTTTACAGATAACCTTTTCTTTTCTAGTATTTACTCCAGAAGTAAACGTTTGGACTTCCCAAGGTAAACCCCCCCCCCCCCTCCCCCCTCTATTCAGTCCAAAGTGGCCTGCTGCTTGGATGATTTACGAAGAAAAAGGGCTTCTCTCGCTGAAGGGGATTAATCTGGACATCACTGTATGACGACCTGAAGAAGACACCGTGCACGTCCCTTGGACCTCCTGTGCAGATGATACCACCATGGAGCCCCGGCACAAGCAAAGCAAAGTTCTAAACCCACTGCACCCTGCCAGGTTGGCAGTCCTGATAAGGTGTTTGAGCCATGTGGTCCACTGAGAGCATGGAGCCAGACAACGCCCACACCCAGAGAAGCTTCATCAACAAGGTGGACGTGCCTGACCATGCTCACTACATCGTTGCTGTATTTGTCGTCGTCATCGGGACGCTGGGCATCACTGGCAACGCGCTGGTTATGCTTGCCGTCTATAGGTGGGTTGGTTCAAGCAGATGTTGTTGTTCTGATTTACATTTTTATATTTTCGATGTGCGTCTCTGTCCTTCAATCAGAGTCTCAAGGGGACGTTGTAATCACTCATGTGATTGTCTCGCAGGATGGACAGACAGGGGGACTGGGTTGTGTGGAGGTGCAAGACGCCTGATTGACTTAAGAGGCAAACGCATCCCAATCAAAGTTGAGGGTTTATTTCCCTGCAGAGCAAGTGGCAGTATCTTCCACGTCTCTCAGGTTACAGAGAGTTAAAGGGGGGGATTATCTTATAAATCATTTTTGCATCTCAGTGTTCTGGTTGACACCGGTCGAATGAGCAGTTCGTCTTAGTAATGTTTCCTTGAGAAATATTTAAAGACCCCTGATGAAGATTATCCCAGATATGTGTGATGTATGACTGAGGCATTTAATGCTTATCATACTGTATTGGGATTTTTCAGATGCAATTTAAAATGTGTCTTTTGTTATAACTGGTTAAATTTCTAAATCAGCCTTTTCCACCTGATGAATCAACTTCTGAATGAAATTCAAATTAATTGTGGAATTCACGCAGTCCATTTAAATTCACAATGTGTGAATGTTCATTTCTAAATATTTAATGGGAAGATGAGAGGATTCATTTCTGTTATTTGTTGTGTAATTTGGACTGTTGACCTCTTATTATGCTACTAACATCAACGGTTTCACATAAACTGGGTCAGAGATATAAAGTGTGTGTGTGTGTGTGTGTGTGTGGTCTGGACATTGTCAGAAGCTTTTAAATTGCATCAGTCCATTACCATGAATAGATTAGATGGGTTTTTCATTGTGCGGAGCTGATAATGTGTTTACTGAATCAGTAATGCACATGATGTTATGTGTTGCAAGAATATTCATTCACACACAAACACACACAGACACACAATCACACCCCCACACGCACACAGCGTGAGAGGGGGAGTGAGGGAGATAATGATCTTTCAAGAGAGATGTCACTCGATATGATGATTTTGCAGGAATGACGTCGTGCCGTAGTAAGTAGGCATATGCACGCACAGACCTTTTTTTTCACAAACACTTTAATACACATACAGATATTCAAGATACTCAATGAACCGTCATCCACAGCAGTCGGCCTCAACAGCGCTTTGTTAATTAATCTTTGTTTCCATGTCTGCTGAATTAAAAGGGGGCCCCCTTTCAGAAGGAGACGGCCACGTCAATAAAGAGCTTCATTCTGATCCATGCAGACAATGAAATGAGCCTTTAGTTCTGCATTCAGACAAGACACACGAGCCTTTAACTGAACCTTTTCCTCGCCATCCAGAAAGCACGACCAACACAACAAACGGAGTAGCTGACAGATGCTAACATCTGTTTAGTCCGATCTCCAGATACTCTGAAACATCCTTTTTAGAGTATCTCTGACAAAAAGAGAAAAGCCTCAGAACATGAAAACTACTAAAACTAAATATATTATCACAAACAAAATCAAATATTGCTTGTAATGAGGCAATATATTTACTGGTGTACTTACCTTCTCTGCTTCAGTTTAAGTTAAAGTTCAGTTAAACACAATAACTACATTACTAATCAAACCCTCTCAAATGAACGAAGAAGCTCAGGTGCTGCTAATCAAGTGCAAAACACGTGTGTGTTGTTACCACTGGCATGACAACTTTGTGTATGTGTATGTGTGTGTGTGTGTGTGTGTAGCAACAAGAAACTCCGTAACCTGCCGAACTACTTCATCATGAACCTGGCGGTCAGCGACTTCCTCATGGCTTTCACACAGTCCCCCATTTTCTTCATCAACTGTCTCTACAAGGAATGGGCGTTTGGAGAGACGGGTAACACTCTTCTTTGTTTTGCAGTAGATGAAAGATGATTGTATCAGGAGGACATCGGATGAAACAGCACTTTCATGTGAGTTTGTATCTGTTCCTTCCCTGCAGGCTGTAAGATATATGCCTTCTGTGGCGCTTTGTTCGGCATCGCCTCCATGATAAACCTACTGGCCATCTCCATCGACCGTTACCTGGTGATCACCAAGCCTCTGCAGGCCATTCACTGGGGCTCCAAACGAAGAACCACCCTGGCCATCCTCCTGGTCTGGCTTTACTCCTTGGCTTGGAGTCTGGCTCCTCTTGTTGGCTGGAGTGAGTTTTGTCTCCTTTTTGTTTTGCAACAGAGCCAAAGCTGATTGAGGCGGTCAACGCTGTGTGAGAACAACGAGCAAGATGATCTGAAATGATCCGCCTGCACTTATTCACGTCAACGTGATCTTAATCTACTGTGCCTTGAACATTACGTCTAACAAAACCAAAGTCATAGAAAATTCAGGACCATTGATGTTTCTCCTGAAATCTAACTTTCTGTGATGTCACCCCCCCGTAGGCTCTTATATCCCGGAGGGCCTGATGACATCTTGTACATGGGATTATGTCACGTACACACTGGCCAATCGGAGCTACACAATGATGTTGTGCTGTTTTGTCTTCTTCATTCCATTGGGAATCATCTTGTACTGCTATCTCTTTATGTTTCTGGCTATTCGGAAGACCAGCAGGTATCGTACCTCTTACCTCAGAGAGCATGTGCACGCTATGTGGTTTCTTCATTATGCACCACTGTTAAATAATCTCCAATAACAACCCCCCGAACAGGGATGTGGAGCGAATGGGGACTCAGGTGAGGAAATCCACCCTGATCAAGCAGAAGTCCATGAAGAGTGAGTGGAAGTTGGCAAAGATCGCCTTTGTCGTCATCGTGGTTTACGTCCTGTCCTGGTCCCCGTACGCCTGCGTCACACTGATCTCCTGGGCTGGGTAAGACTTCTTTTAGTGTGATTACATTTTTCTGGATCGTATCCTCTATTTCAAGCTATGGTATAGCTCAAGCAGAGTTTTTGTTCTAGTTTATAGTCTTCTTCAATCCATCATCATGTTGGTCGAGTAAATTATGCTTCCATTTCGGGTAAAATGTAAAATGAATCAGGGTATGCCGTTTGTTGTAAAAGACAGGTTGCGACCGTGCTACTGTGGATTCTGTTAGATGTCTGTGATTATGTCAGACATCTAATAAAAAACTTTTATTATTTTTGGATCATAAAGTTCATAGGCATTTTTTGATAACATTTGTTTGTACTTAGCTCCGCCCTCAGTGCGTAAAACGAGATGGCAACGGCCAAAATACCAAACTCAAGGCTTTTTTTTTACGAACAAATAAGACTCCAAAATATAATGTGTATCTTTTTCCTTCATCCTTTCCATTTATAACTTGTTGCATTTATTGAAGCAGCCACAGTCTAAACTACAGATGCTTGATCTACTCACACTGCCTGCACAAAGTATCTACATCAAATAATTAAATGAGATTTAAGAATCAAATGACGCTCGGCTGGAGACAAGCCGACAAGACATACCCCGTTCCGTTATGAAACCACATACAGGAAGAACAAAGGGACCTTTGAGTTTTTCTCCTGTTGTCTTCTTCAGTCACGCCGACATCCTGTCTCCCTACTCCAAGGCTGTCCCTGCTATCATAGCGAAAGCCTCCGCCATCTACAATCCTTTCATCTACGCCATCATACACAACAAATACAGGTGAATCTGTGTCACGTTCTGAGTTTGACCGTCCCTCTTTATTTTTCGGGGGAATTATGTCATCGTGTCCTTCAAAGCAAAACTAAACTTTTGTTTGTTTGTTCCCGACCATGTTTTACCAGGATGACTCTGGCGGCAAAGTTCCCCTGCCTGAGGTTTCTGTCTCCCACTCCTCGAAAGGACACCTCCTCCTCCATCAGCGAGTCCTCTTACAGGGACTCCGTCATCAGCAGACAGTCCACAGCATCAAGGACTCACTTTATTACGGCGTGCCCTGACACGGTAAACTTTTTCTTTAGCTTTTCTTCTCGATTAGGCTGCCACTGATCTAAATGAAGCACAGGAATTCTGTACCTTAACTGTCATCTATTCTCATGCTTTACACTTTTACTTTCATGTATCGTCAGACCAGCATGTGAAGAAACAGGCATTTCTATTATCTGCCTACAATCATTCCCACTTCTCACGCTTTGAATTATATTCTTTATGCATCTGAGGTGAATTCCTCTTGAAAATGTCCTGCAGGTGTTTAAAAATGTAGGGATGGAGCCTTTGGGACGGAAGTCGGGGGATTCTTTCAGAAGCATACCATCATACAGAGGGTCTTCCAGAGGCAGGTCCTATAAGAAAAGAATAGAGCAGAAGAGCCAGGCCCCGGAGAAGGTGAGAAACACAACACATAGAACCGGTGAATTGAACTTTCATGGAATTTTTTTGGGGTTATTGAGAAAACTGTTCTTTCCCCACCTTCCCAGCACCCATCCACCATTAGTGAACCATCTAGCACCTGCGAGCATGAACTGGTTTCCAGCTCTCTCACCGTCGCCTCTCTCCCCTTACTGGTTCTTACAAGGAAACGCAGCCACAGCCTGACCAGTGACATTTCAGATGCTTGGGAGAAGAAAGGCGGCGTCCGCGATCCCCACAAGAGCAACTCTTTTGATTCGCTGAATTATAGAAAAATCTCATCCGCCGACAGCGGGTCACCCCAGGGTGTCCCGCGCATAATCGTCATCAGCCCCACATATGAGAGCAGCCTCATCAAGCATGACAGTTTCTGCTTAGAGGACAGTGTTGAGGCAATGGAGAACAATGTTTTTGTTAGTCTCAACTTCTCAACAGAAGTGTTTGAGGCTGTAGAGCTGCTCCCGTGACCAACCGGACCTGGTTGGGCAATAAATGTACCGGCCCAGATTTGTTTTTCTACAGCAAAAATAATCATGTATGCCGACACCTTAGATAACCGGAGAAATCAGGCGAAAACAAACATTTTGTTGTTATGTACAGTTTACAGCATCTTACACACATTTCATGTAAATCAGCTGAAGACGGGAGAGAAGACATCATCAAGCCCCTTTAATCCCCAATTGCTGGAATAACTCAAAGGAAAGAAAGCGCAGCAATAACTTCAGTCTGTGAAGACGGTTTCTTTTGAATAGTATTTAAAGTACACATTGAAGTCTTGGTAATGGTTTCTTTGGGCAGCGTGGACTCCAACTTTTGTTTGGCATAGAGACGGTGGAACAAAGAACAGTTCATGTATTGATGGAATAACCGGTCAAAAGACTCAAATGTGTCTGATAGAACTACAAACATTTTCCTCGTGGTGACTTTATGTGTCTTGCTCTTTGCTGACACAGTGCTTTGTAGAAAATGCTCCACTGTTTCCTTTGTGTTTGCTCCTTGGGAAAGCTACTGCGTTGTTGCCAGAAAAGGATTCACCAGTAATGTAGATTTGTGTACAGTGCACATATGACAAAAACAGCTTGCCGAATTAGTATTTTTATGGGATGTTAAATTAATGAGACTTCTGAAAAAATATTTTTTTTAGACCCATAACCGAATCTCTGCAGCGAGTGAATGGCCACTAGTCTTGCTCTTGTTAACTGTTTAATTATTCCTGCAATTAGTGTAATTTCTTCCTGCAAGACTAATCAGCAGCAATTACTGCAAAATTATGAAAAAAAACTTGATTAACATCTGTTGTCTACAATTGATGTCTGTATCATCTGTGTTTTAACATTTGATACATGTGCATCTGTTGGTTTTATACCAGCAAAGATTGTGGTTTGGGGCAACATAGTTGAGGAAATTGGTTTGCACTGTTTCATGTTTGTTTATCTGATGATTAAAAACTCTGAATCCACATTTTGTCACATTTTCATCAAGCTGAAAGGAGCACACATGATTACGCTTGTATTTCACTGATTGCAAATCAACAGATTACATTCAATGGGAACATTCAAGGGAATTGTTCTTTCTTGCTACAATATCCGCATATGCATAGCAGCTACAGAGAGGTTCAAGAAAGTATCTGGTACACAAACTGTGGTTAAAGTACAGATAGTCCACATCCAACAATTCACAAGATTATTTTTCGAATCACTGGTCTGAAATTGAAGACTACAAATAGTTTCAGATTTGCACCACATGAGTGATTGAAGGAAAACGATGGTTCATACTGAAAAACAATTTTAATTTAGGTATGCATTGTGTCGTTTAGAACTAGTCCAATATTTGGTGTTTGTGAATATGAAAGCTGCAAAGCATATTTCAAAATGTTGAGGCTGAAGTTAAATGTACTGTGAACCGTTTGGGTGATTAGTGAATGAGCAGCTTTTGTAGCCCTCTGGAGAGTAAAACACTCCCCAAAGGGCCACGGTCACATTAATTTAAAATCATACCTTATAAATACTCCTGCTTTTGTTAATTTGATCTATCTATCTGTAAACCGTGAACTTTTAGCATGTTGGGATATGTGGAGCGAGAAGCACAATACGTGTGATTGTTTGTATGTAATGGCAGCAAATGGGCACTAGAGGGAAATAGTGACTCATACATCATATTCATGTAATGAAAATGAACATTGCAAAATGTCATGATTCGTGGAGAAAGAAAAGGCTGTGCTTTCCTCATTTAAGACGCAGCTGAAACTGCATGTATTATTTTTTGGATTAGGGTCTTTAATTCTTATTATTGTCTTAAATGCTAGTGTTTGCGAGAGCGATCTTATGGTAAAAATACGATGTACAAAGCTGTTCTGTCCTTAAGCACAACAACTTTATAACACGCATGAGTGTGTGCATGTCTGTGTCCGAGTCAAGTCAAGTCATTTTATTTTGTATAGCCCAGAATCGCAAATTACAAATTTGCCTCAGAGGGCTTTACAGTCTGTACACATACGACATCCTCTGCCCCGAAACCCACCATCGGCACAGGAAAAACTCCCCAAAAAATGAAAAAACCCTTACAAGAGGGAAAAAAGGGAAGAAACCTTAGGGAGAACGTCAGAGGAGGGATCCCACTCCCGGGATGGACAGACTACAATGGATGCCATGTGTACAGAATGAACGATGTATAATACATGCAATTCCTATGACAGAAATGATTCAAGTAATTGTGAGTAGTAAGCCAGGCGCACAGCAGGACCACTGCAGAGGCAACCACCATCAGATAGAACCACCATCCACAGAATCCTGTGGGGAGGGAGAGCACAGAGATTTTAGGAGAGGGTAATGTCGGTTTATGAGTAAAGTAATATGATTAATATCTAAAATAATGATGATGATGATGGCAGCAGCAGGCGTCAGCATGGCCACGGTAGGTGTCAGGACCAGGGTCCCGAAGGAACCACGATCTACGGAGACCTGATAGGGAAGAAAGCACAAAAAAAACTCCCGGAAAGAAGCTGAATTAGTCATGTGCATTAATAAAACTTGAATTATGGTACGAGAACGAGAGCGTGAGAGAGGAGCTTGGTGTGTCCTAAGAATTCCCCCAGCATTCTAAGCCTATAGCAGCTTAACTAGGAGCGCAGTTGCCTTGTAGGGCAATACGGTGTTACAAGCTCTTGAAGATACAACGGTGCCTCACCAGCAAGTGCCTTGTAGGTGAGGAGAAGTACCTTAAAATCTATTCTTGATTTAACAGGGAGCCAGTGCAGAGAAGTTAATACAGGAGTGATATGATCCCTTTTCTTAGTTCTTGTTAATACACGTGCTGCAGCATTCTGAATCAGCTGGAGAGGCTTAAGAGATTTATAAGAGCAGCCTGATAACAAAGAATTACAGTAGTCCAGTCTGGAAGTGACAAACGCATGAACTAATTTTTCTGCATCACTTTGAGACAGGAAGTTCCTGATTTTTGATATGTTACGTAGATGAAAATAGGCAGTCCTTGAAGTCTTCTTTATATGCGAGTTGAAGGTCATATCCTGGTCGAAGAGAACTCCCAGATTCCTGACGGTGCTGCTGGGTACCAGAGCAATTCCATCCATAAAAACTGTATCACGCGACAGCTGGCTTCGAAGGCGCTCTGGGCCTATCAGGATAACTTCCGTTTTTTCTGAGTTTAGCATCAGGAAGTTGCCGGTCATCCAAGTTTTGATGTCTCCAAGACATTCTTGGAGTCTAACTAACTGGTCCGTCTCTTCTGGCTTGATCGACAGATACAGTTGAGTATCGTCTGCATAACAATGGAAGTTTATGTGGTGTTTCCTGATAAGATCGCCCAAAGGAAGCATATAGAGGGTAAATAAAATCGGTCCAAGTACAGAACCTTGTGGGACTCCGTGACCAACATTGGTGGTCTTTGAGGATTCACCGTTTACAAGCACAAACTGGGATCGGTCCGATAGGTAGGATTTAAACCAGCTGAGTGCAGTTCCTTTGATACCAATTAAATGTTCTAGTCTCTGCAACAGGATACAATGGTCTATGGTATCAAATGCGGCACTGAGGTCCAGCAAGACAAGAAAAGAGATGAGTCCTTGGTCCGATGCAAGTAGAAGATCATTCGTAATTTTCACCAGTGCTGTTTCTGTACTGTGATGCACTCGGAATCCTGACTGGAAATCCTCGAACAAAGCATTGTTTTGTAGAAAGTCACATAATTGATTTGCGACGGATTTCTCAAGGATCTTAGAGAGGAAGGGAAGATTAGAGATAGGTCTGTAGTTAGCCAACACCTCTGGAGCAAGAGTAGGTTTCTTAAGAAGAGGTTTAATTACAGCTACCTTGAAGGACTGTGGTACATGTCCTGTCAACAAAGACAGATTCATAATATCTAATAAGGATGTGCTAACTAAAGGAAAAACTTCCTTAAGCAGTTTGGTCGGAATCGGATCCAAGAGACAAGTAGAAGATTTAGACTTTGAAAATAAAGAAGTCAGCTGATCAAGGTTGATGGAAGAGAAGGCATCCAAACAGGCATCAGGGCCCACTGCTGCATCCAAGGTTCCTACATCGGAGGACAGGTCGGCACTGGTTGAAGGCAGGAGACCATCAATTTTCTCTTTGATAGTCAGAATCTTATCATTGAAGAAGTTCATGAAGTCGTTACTAGTGAGGTCCAAAGGAATACACGGCTCGACAGAGCTGTGACTCTCTGTCAGTCGGGCTACAGTGCTGAAGAGAAACCTGGAGTTGTTTTTATTTTTCTCTATTAATGATGATGTCCGAGTGAGGGTGGCGAGGTCGTGTCACATCCCCATTCAGGGAGGCACAAGGCCTTACACAGCAAGCAGCCAACAGGCCCAACAGGCCTCAAGTCACCTGGTGACGCTGTATTTGACCGACACCGCCCACTTGCGATGGTTGATATTATTCTGTGAGGAAATCTATGCAAATTATTCAATTAAAAAGGAAACGTTGATAAGTTGTAGTGTATTCACTTTATCTAAAACGCACATTTAACACAGCCACGAATGGTTCCCTCCCTCATGTTTAGAATTGCGTCTATAACCGTTGCAGTGTCACAAACGTGTTGAAGCAACTCTGCGTGATGACGTTGCTTCATTACTGACGGACCTCACACACGTCAAGCTCAATAAGTGCCGACTGATGTGCAATAAAGTGTATATTTTCCCAGGACACTGGAGAGGATGGTTGCACTGAGGAGCCAGTCGGTGAGTAAACAGCTGCTTAACTCACTCTGTACCTTATTGAATGCTTATAGCTATCGCTTCCTTTTTCATGTTTATCACACAATTCCACTGTGGTTTGACGCAGGGCTTCAACGCATGGGACGGTATTGCAATTGGTAAATGTCAATGGAAAGAAATAAAAAAAGAGTTCAATTTGCAATCACTGTCATGCAGTCTTGATGGTCTTCTTGGTTTTCTATGGTGTATCAGAGTATGTGATGCTGTAACAATAAGTAAATACTTGGGTATTTTCATTGCAATTAAGTAGATTGAGTGGAATTCAGCACAACAACAAATCAAGAGTGCAATATGTCCGCAGTGTATTGACATGGTAAAAAAGAGGAGTTGTTGGAGGGCTGTGTGTGGGGGTGCGTATTGAATTGACGTTGGTCATGCTTTAGTCTCTGCTGAATAAAGCAGATGCTTGGATCTCCCCTTGAGAACCGGTGAATACTAAGCTCTGCCCCCCGTCAGCTGATAAATGGCGTGCAATTGTCATCAAGTGTCATCACATAATAACTGCTCTCTGCTAGAGATGGGGGAAGTGAAGTATTAGAAATGCATAGAAATGATTCTACCAAAAATGTGTGTGTGTGTTTATTTTGTTTCTTAGGAGCATAATTTCCCTAAATGTGCCCTACATGTGCATTATGAAATGAAGTGACAAACTGTTTAAAATGTGCCTTGCCCTTTATTCATGCAGGACATGGTTCTAGATATGGACCGATCATCCCACAATTGCGGGAAGGTAATGCCAACCTTTTCCTCCTCGACCAGAAATAAACAAAACCAGCGATTGATGACGCATCTTTTGTTTTTCAAGATGTTCCTGGAACTGCCTCGCCACTGCACAGACTTTGTCTTTATTTTTCCAGCTGCAAGTAGTTGCTCCACTCTAGCACCATTCTCATGCATTGCGTTTGAAAAATGGAGCACTGTGGGGGAAAAGTGTCCATCAACACTGGACTGAAAACCTCAGCAACAGCCGTTTTTTCAGTCAATTTGACCATGTTTGTCGTTTCTTTCAATGTCAACCAGGGGTGAAGCTTCCCTCCTGTTGGCCGGCTGGCAGCCTAAACTATAGCAGAGGAGATCTTTCCAATGTCTGGTTCAAAAGTAGTCTATCCAAGTTCACTAGCTCTCTCAACAGAGATGAGAACAGAGATCAAATGAGGAACTCATTGTATACTCTTGACTTGAGCCATTGACTTTAGGGGGCAGACCTACTGTCAACGCCCTAAAAGCTAATAGACAGGAGGATGGAACAACGCTTCTGTTCATCTCAACGTCATCGCTGTTTGAGAAGTGAAATCTCAAAGTTCATCCTGTGGGGAGACATGAATGCGTTTAGTGAAGTTCATGACAACCTGCTCATTTGATTTGGAAATGTTTGCTTGATGGTGGTGCTCCAAAAAAAGGAGCGCTCAGTGACCAAAGTCCCTCTGCTTCCAAACAGCAGGTGGGAGGAACAACTATGAACAGCTGATCATAAGTGGAGGACGCTCTCTGAAATGTGTCTACTGTCTCAGAGGAAACTTCCCTTTGCTTGACCCAGACTTGAATGACAGATTAAGCAGTGTGTGTGTGTGTGTGTGTGTGTGTGTGTGTGTTCATGTCCCTATGCAGCTTAAGTCACATTTTTTTTTGTCGTTTGTCGTGAGGTGGGTCTCTCTCCGGTGGGCCAGTATGCAGGGAGGAATATTTTCCACTGTGAAAGTGTGAAGTTATAAACGGCGACTGAGCACAGACAGGAGATGCAGATAGTAAGTCTATCTCTGGATTCCAGACGGCCCTTCAGTGGTAATATATAGTACTCTCAATTATGGAGATTGTTGTATCTTGGACACAAGAATCAACACACACAAATCAAAACAAATTACATTTTGGGATTGTCCACGGAATTAATTCCAAGGAATTCTATGGCATGGACCTGTTTCCTTGGAAAAGGAATCTCTATCCATCTCTAACAACGTGAAGAAACAGTAAATGTGGTGGTCAGTTTTGGGTCTCTGCATTCCGGCCATTAGAACATATTTGCCATACCACAAGTAGACATTATTACAGTTATGTGGGTAATTACTGGTTTGACAGTGACTCAAACTTCATCTCAACAGCGCCGGTTGAAACCTAGAGGAAGACTAGGCTGCTGCTCTATAACTCTAACAGTGCAGTATTGTAGAGATGGGATGTGGGATTAACTAGGCTTAAATCAGTCTGGAAGGGTCAGACTGATTAGATGGCTGGAAAACGAATACTCTCCCTATTATAAATAACCGTACACATGTTTGTCTGTCTGCTGCTGGACAAAGGTGAGTGGAAGTAGTGTTTGTATACTGAATAATGTGCAGTATCATGCTACTATATTGTGCTGCCTGTTTCCTAATTGAAGGATCCTTTTTATCCCCCGCTAAACAAAAATGCCTCCCTACAGTCTTCTAAGGCTGCTTATTTACAGACTTACATATCAGGGTACCTTTGCTTTGTTATCTTGCATGCAGAATTCAACAAAAATCTGCAAAAATGCCAAATCTTACAATTCAGTTAAATAATATTTACATAATTTGAGACGTAATCATCTAACAATTAACATCTCAGTGAGATATAGGCACTTTTTTTGCAACCAGTTGTATCTGTAATATCTTAATTTATTATTTTTTTGATAATTACAGGCTTACTACTACTACTACTACTTACTATACTTTGGTTTCCTCCTTAAATGGTATTTTTCTAGCCTTCTAGCATAAAATGAAACCTTTTACTTTCTGAGTAAATTTTTAACTAGGTTTTAGAATATTCATAACCTTTTTTTAGCATACTGTTTGGCAGCTATACACACGACAGTGACAAATCATCGTAGCAGATTATTATCTATATTTTGTTGAAAGGATTTTTACTAATTCAGAATATTTGCACTGACTTCAGCTTTGACCGGAGAGATTGAATGTATACTGTGACCTTTTAGGCTGTGTGTGTGTGTGTGTGTGTGTGGTGGGGGGGCAGCTGGCAGAATAGTGGGGCCCCCCTTTAATTCTCATGGACGATGCATTAAATGTCATTCAGAGGGGCAGACTGTTATACCATTAAGGGGTGCGGCTGGTCTCGGCTGGTCTCGGTGTGTGTTTGTGTGTGTGCATGTGTATGTATGAGGGTGTGTGTTGGCCGGGGGGCTAAGCTGTGATCATTAAGCATTTGGAGAGGTGCGCATGTGGGGACTGGAATAGAACATTTGACAGAACAAAGGACTGGCAGAGTATCTGAGGCTTTGAGCCACATCACACTCTCTATTGTTAGTGTTTGATATCATTATCCTGGGCTTCACAAATCTCCTTTGTTCACTCTGTTGCCATTGACAAGTTTGGACATTTCAAGCAAATGTTTTGGGACAGTGAAATACACCGGTGTGCCCATGTGCATTTTTTTCCTTCAAGCTGTGAGAGCTTTCACATAGAACGTTTGGCTTTTGGAGCGTTTGCTGCAATACTAATATCCCTCAGTAAATAACATAACAACATCAACCATGCAGACACAGATACAGATATATTAGAATGTAATGCCTGATAAAACTGTAACATTATATCAATCAACAGAATCATAAATTATATACACTTTCTCAAGGTTCATCCTTCAACCGTTTGACTGGCGGTTTCTCATTTCTCTTCAGCAGGTTATTCGTGTCCTACAAGATACCATGTTGATACGGTCAACATACAAGAGAATACAATATGTTAAAAGTGGGACCTAATCCACAGACGGAAGGAACGTATGATATAGTACACAGTGCTGTTGTAGCCAATCAAATGTGTATTTTTGATTCATTTAACAGGATGGCCTGCTGGGACTAATCTGGTTACTACAGTTAAAAGTGATCCCTGAAGGTGTTCACCATAGCATGAGCCAAGGCTAACCACGACTCACGTCAACCATGTCTCCTCCACGTGTAACTATGGGCTCAGTCCTTTTCACAATGAGCAACTATCTGTGCCATAGCTTTCACAAAACACTGCGCCTTTCACACAGTTTTATCCTTCAGCTCTGCAGAGGAAACGGGATTAATGATTCCACCATCTCTGCTCCTCCCAGCGGGTGCAGAGTTGTTGTTGATCCTGGCTTTGCAGGAGAAGAGTGCAGTTCTAGACTCTGCGGGAACGTCCATTAGCAGGTTAATAAAGAGCATCCTGTGTTTATGTGTGTGGCTTTGTGTATTTAATCGTTTCACACTGTATTTGTCAGGATGTTTGCTTATGGAAAGTGTTAAAGTCATTTTTAGCCTGCTTGCTTTCCCCTCTTGTCTCTCGGCCTTTGTTCTGTGTCTCCTTTCTCGTTCTACCTGGGGTTTTTTTACAAGCTGTTGGGAAACTTCTTTTTCAAGCTATCCATCTCCTCTTTGATATTTGTTGGAAAAGTATTCAGATCCAAGTGAAATGTGTCCTCGTGTGAGTGTGAAAGTGAGTCAGAGTGTTTGATCAGGGCCAAAATAGGAATGGGATGTATCTTTAATCGAGCCCCTGTAGTATCAGTCCTGAGTCAATATTGCTCCGTCTGAGCTGGAAAAGGGGGGAAGTCTTGAGCAAGTAGAAGAACCGCCCGCTCTCTGGACGTAATTAATAAGGAAACTGAAAAACAAGATAATGACGCTGCTGCACTTGACTGCTTACCTCACTTCAGCAAAATGTAGAGATGTTTGGAATGAGATTAGTTAAGATTGGTTATCCTTGTATGATTTAAGGATAAGGGACATTTCATTTGACATCTGAGACACATTTTGATCAAAGCCTTTGGGACGTGTCCTCAGGTTGCGACCTGCTTCCACCTTAAATCCAGCAGCCAGCAGCATTAAGTCAATGTTCCCAAAATATCTGGTTGAAAGATAAACTGTCCTCTCATTTGACCCTCTCTCCCTCCCCTCGTGATTTTCTCTGTGTGAAACGCTCCCACACTCTTTTCCTTAATCCCCCCCCTTCCCCCTTTACGTCTCCCCCTTTTTTTTTTTTTTCAAAGCGTGGTCTCCTCCCATCCTCTAATCTCCCGTCTTCGTATCATGTCCCTTATTTCTCCTCCTCTTTTGTGTCCCACCCACTCCACCCTTGGTTGATTCTCCTCCTCTTTCTCCTCCCCCTTCGTCTCTCCCCTTCTCCACCTTTCCCCTCCCCTCTATCATTAGCTGGTATATAAGAGCATTGCATCCCTCTGTGCCTCTCTGACACACATACTGTGTGTTTGCCGGGAAGGGGATAGTCAAAGGGAAACTACAGATTACACTGTCTACCTGCCTGTGAAGGAACTATTTTCCTGTCTGGAACCATTTAAGAGGTACAGTTTTTTTATTTTTTATTTTATGTTTTTTTTAATTAACCGTATAAGGAATAGTACCAACTGTTATACAATCAAACTCAATGTTAGCCATTTAATTGTGCTCTCTGGAGGTTTTCCTGGGGAGGTGTTGTAAGTATTTTAGGCTTGTTAACTACTCCAGCATATCCAAGTATCGTTTGCATGAATGTGTGTTTGCATAATGACATTTGAAATCATTTGTAAGAATTGAAACAATGAAAATTTGTGTTTACTGAAAGTTGCCGTATAAAATGTACTTTTGCCTTTTGCATTCCACGTCCTCCCTTTGCATTAGTCTCTTGATCTCTTTTGTCACCCATCACAGTCATTTATATACCATAGAATGACAAATATAATATACGCTTTTCCTTCCTCAGATCTTGCGACATCACCTAAAAGGGAGCCGGAACTAAATCCTCAACCAGTCATCAACACCCTCTGACATCACTACACATTTCACGCCGTCACCTCCATCACTTGTCGGCGCATTTGACATCACCCGAGGAGACCATGAGCAGCAACTACAGCGTCATGCTCCTTGGCCCGGCCCCTTGGGGCTTCAGGCTGCAGGGAGGCAAGGACTTCAACATGCCCCTCACCATCTCCAGGGTAAGATTAAAACACGCATAGATCCGTGATCGTACCTCTACCTAACACGGAATGTGCTACGCCATTAAAAGCACATGTCCTGTTATACATCCAAACTCTTCTGTCACAGTGCAGCTGGAGAATGACGTCCCAGCAACGCCCCGGGGTCTATAAATGATTAAAAGAGATGAGCACTGATTAACAATCCCCCCTCTCATCCTCCTCTCCTTTTCGCCGCCTTTCCCCCACCTCACTTGTCATAGCTCAGCCGGATCATTTGCCGACCGTCATGTATTGACCGCACAGGAAACCTTTTCTCTCTCTCTCTCTTTGGAGTGTCTGTTGCAAAGGTCCCGCAATCAAAGCGCTGGCTCTCAAATCTGGGCTTCGGGCCCTCGGCTCGGGGAAGTAACTTGATGGTCCCCTGGTTTCCGTGCCTTTCTGGTGACTACTCCCAACGTTACCTCTCGTTGCCCTCCCGGGCCGCCGCGGCTCCTTCACACCGTTAAAGTTCACTCTAACCAAACAGTGATTCTGAAACGGATAATCCCGCTCGAGCTTCTGTTCCGTTCTGCTTGGACAGTGAAGCTTCACGTGCACACACCAAGAACAGTTTAGCGTGCATGCGCGGCAACCGCGTGCACAATTCCAGTGTGTTCACGCACACACAAATCACAAGAACTGGCCGTGGACAGAATAACGGCAACGTGAGACTGATGATGGATGGCTTGCCAGGTCCTGTGCCAATCCCCCTTGGGGCCGCTTTGGGTTGCCATGTTTGTGTTATTGCTTTGGATGTGAGACTTTTCCCACTAACTGAAGCCATGTGGATTCTGACCGCAGTTGTGCGTGTGTGTGTGTGTGTCTGGGAGTAGATGCCCGGACTCAAAACTGTGGAAGATTATCTGAGTTGTGGAGAGAAAAGAATTAAACTCAAGGAACAGTTGTTTACGGAATCATCTACGTTGCCATGCTACATGAAAAAAGAATCATGTTGATGACAGATCGAAATAAATGGCTATGTTGACATTGGAGAAGTCAGCAGCAAATCAACTATAATTTACTCTGACCTTTACTGAGGTATCTCAATGACAGATATATGGTTTAAGGTTTCAGGACGTGGCAGTGTGAGTTAATGGTGGTGCAGTTAAAATAAATGTTTGTTCGATCTCCTTCAGACTATAAAGTGGACCGTTTGTCGATAGTATGGCTTGTGTCATAATACTTTAAGGTAATTCAGGATTAGAATCAATGTATCAAAGATTCCAGCTATTTTTGTTCAATAAATCGGCCAAATCTCTACTACTGGTTGCTGAATTGTGCATCAAAAAGTGTAAACAAGAGCTTTGACTAATGATTCTAATACACAAATTCCACCCTCCCGTATTTACATCCCAACTCACCATCCTGTTTTTACGGTAAACGTCCCAATGTGCTATTCAATTAGCTCTGTGAAATATAGGACAATGATATCAATCATTTTTGCGGTTTCTCGAGGATCATTATTTCTTTCCAATCCGTTCTGTGTGACACTCATCTTATTCTCCATGTTAAAAACATGTCATGTGGATGAAGGGCGGTGCTTCACACACACACACGTCGCTTTCTGCCAGTCCAACCACAGAGTTGGTTCCACAAAGTGGTAAACCACACTTAGCCTCACAGCTGCTGTTGCTAAGCTCTACGTGTATGCAGACAAGCCTGTGTGTGTTGTTTACGGCGTAAGTCAAAGCCAAAGCGTTATCACGTTGCACCGGTTCTCCATCGAGGGTCGAGTAGAGGTGTGACTGCGAGTCCAGAGCTCCGCCCAAAAAGTGTTTTAATAACAGGCCAATACTCTGTATGTTGGAGCGCCTCTCCAAGTGCCAATGAAAGGTTTTACCCAAGGCAACCCAGTTTGACGTGGTCCATAAAAGGAAATGTTTGGAGAAGGAAAGAAAAGATTGAGAGAGTGGACACAAGTGAACCTTTTTCTGGCTTAAAAAGAGCAAAGTGTGAGCTGTGGTGAATCAGATACAGACTGGCCTAATACGTTACCTTTCAGTGAAGCTATCATTTAATAGATGTGCTGCTAAAAACATTTTGTAGAAAATTGCCTGCAGATGTACTCCGCCAAATCCCCATTAAACATTTATCCTGAAATCCATTTAAGGATCAAAAGGATTTTCAAGAAGCAGGTCGCTCATGTTTGGAGACAGAAAAAAAGCGGCCCCCCTCTCAGTAAAATTTGAAACACGGTGAATCAATATTTAAACCTGTCTGAGGGCAGTGCACTTACCGGATCCACTGTTAAAATAATTTAAGGGAAGGCAACCCAGAGGAGCAAATGCATTAAGATACTTAAAATAGAAGGGTCATTCCTCAGGTCAGCAACTTCTCACGAGGCGAATTGATCATGGATCTGTAGCTCCGTGTTAAGAGCTCCGGGCTCCAGGCTGAATATTGACCGCAGTGCTTCTTGGGTATTTTAGAGACTCTAAAAACGGCAACATTATGCCAGGAAGGGTTGATAACAATGCATCCATCTGTCTTCACTGCATGAAGCCCTCCTCCAGAGCTGTCTGGTAAGAATTTTTAATCACAGGAGAGAGATAGAGTTTGTGCTGTGAGGAAAGACTGGAACAATAATCTACACGAGTACCTTTCCGAGGAAGAATGCGTTTCTTGGAACTCGGCGTTTGCTGCCTCCTTCCTCCCCCGTGTCAACAGGCGATGATAACAACCGACCAGATGGATGGGCGTAGTTCTAAACATAGTCTTGGTCTTTTCCCTTTGCATTGCCCCCCCAGCTCCTCTTTTACAGTACTTGTTCCTACACTCACATTGCATCACTGTCCGGGGCTTTGGGCCTTAACCTTACGTGCCTGACTCTCACGGCCACTTGACAGCTCCTCCATGTGACTTATATTACCTAAAGCTATCTTAATCAAACACGCCTTGTGTTTTCCTCTGAGCATTTATCTATCTCAGTAAGACAGACCCAGAGCCAGAATCAACAACTTACCATTTCCTCTCCCAGAGATCAACCTGTCAGGGCCGGTGTGTGTACTTGTTGGCACAGACTTTTTTGCATTTGGACAATGTAAAACCGCCCCGTTGGTTCTGCGGTGTAGCAGCGGGATAATTCATCCTGCACCTTCACACATTTGTGAGATCTGATACTGCATTCCGTTTTTAGGCATTTTTTTTAAGAAGTCACACATTTTAAAATTATTATTGGTTATTTATGAGGATTTGTAATGTTGGTTGGCATCATTGTAGCAGCGATGAGCGGACAGAAAAAAGGAGGATTGCTCTGGATTGTACGTTGACAGTTATCTGGTCCAACTGGTGACCTCACATTTCTGTCTTCACCGGTAATGGACTCACTAATCCATCGTAAAAAGCCCCAACACTGTCACACATGCCGATACAGAAACAAATGGTAAAATGGAAAAATCACACTGTGAATCTTGTCAGTTTTTTTATTCTGGCTCACACAATCTTAGTCTAAACCACTAATATAAGGGGAAAAAAATCAAACAAACCGATCAATTTAAGGACGTAGTATTAAAACACACAAACAATTATCCTTTGAAAGATGTTTTTTGAAGGGAGCTGCTTTAGTATAACTGAATCGACAGAACAATTTGACCTCCAGTCAAATCCCAATGAAACCACTTGAATCCCCATTGTTTAACGTGGTTGTAATGTATTTTGCACAGTAGCTGCTGATCCGTGTCCCCTCTGCTTTCCTGTCAGGATCCAGTCCTCACTTCTAGTATCATGTGTATTTACAATGATATTGTTTGATTGTTTCACTACACAAACTGATAGAAAGCATGAATGGTTGTGGTTGAGGAGTTCGATAGAAGTAAAACAGCTGCAGCTTTCCTCTTTCCCTTTTGGGTATTTGGTCCTGATGCTTTGTCTCATTTTTACCGGCATAATAGAGACCAATAGTAGTATAGAATAGAAGACAAAGTTGGCAATTTGGTTCGCTGTTCTTCATTTAAGGAACCTTGAATGCACTGCTGTGTTTGCAAGGTTTTTTGGCAAGGTTTTTCTTTTAATATCTTGACCAACATCATTCTTGTTAAAACGTATTACAAGCAGGTTTAAACGCGATTTAACCGTGTAACTTGAAACCAATTACAGCCCCTGTAAGTGTGTTCCACTGGTGACGCGTCCTCTGGGTTCGTATGGAGTAAGAACAAGCCAGGCTTGTGCTGCGATGGCTGTGTTCCTGAGTGCCGTTACAATCACACCATTGAGTCCGACCATGAGGGCCGGTTTGTTTCCTTTCTACTTTACACAGTGCAGTTAGATTTTACAGCTTAAAAAAATGTCATGTGGATTTCGTGATTCTAGTACTGAGTGTATAAAAATATCACCTAAAACTGTCACCTCCCCCACCTGATTTACATGCGAAGGAAACATCCCGTCGTCAGTTCTTTGTGAGTTGCTTTATTCTTTTGGTGTTTAATTTTTCTACATCTGACAAATCTACAAACTCTCAGCAAATTATATTCATGACATAGTTTTTGACCCTTCGATTCGCTAAACAGACATTCTATACTATGCATTCCTGCCGTTTGTGTGGCTTAGTTCCACCAAAAGCAGTGAAGAAAAAGACTTAATGTGCTTTCAAACTTCTTTCAAAGAATTAGCTAAATGTTTTATGAGAAAGTAAATGCATTCAATACTTTTTTTAGACCTCACAAATACAATTTGTTTTGATGAGTAACACAGAAACCTTTCCTACAATAAAACTCCAAAGGGGCCCGTTAAGCCTGTACTTAATACAAAGGGCTGGCATATGGTGGTCGCTTTTGTGGATTTCTGAGTCATCAGAATCAATCTGGGTGTTCGGCTGTTCTGCTCTCAGTGTTTCAATCTGTCACTCTTTGTGCTGAAAGCAGCCATTGTTCGAAGCACTCAAACTGCTCGGTGTTTGTTCAAACCACACAGTGTCTCAGCACCCCAGCTAGCACTCATCGCTTTGTGTTCCAACCAATTTACTTTTTCAGAGCACTTCAGTTAGACCGCGTATGTGTTGAAAACTGACATTGCTGAAAGCGGAATGGCAAGTTCATTTGTAAAGACTTTAACACGCTGTGTGTGTTTTTCTCTTTCTTTGGAGTGTTTGGACACAAATATGAACTCTTTCACCTTGAATTCACATGTAATACGGCAGGGATCTTCTGCACAAAGTTTTAAAAAATGCTGGTTATTGGGTATACATATAATAGGAATTGTCTAAATTGTGCAATTTAGTCGGTTAGTAAACATTATTATTAGTATCTGTCACATTCAAAGGCACTTACCCCACTATGTTTTTCTAATTTGTTTTAGAGGACTTGTTTGTTTCTAACTACCTGATTAATCTAAATAAAATTAAAGTAAAGTAAGTTTGTAATGTAAAGTAAAATATCCACTCTCCTTTTAGCTCTGTTTAAAAAAAATGGAAAAAGCTTAATTTGCGGTCTTTAACTATCTCGATGCTCCACCTAAATCCTACTTTTACATTACTCATAGAAATTGAATCCGTTTAGAAAATCTCTATTTTTGTTTGCTCGATTTCTTTCCTTAACTTTAGTCTCTTTTGTCAAAGGGAGATAAACAACTCTGACAGGATTCCCACACCATAAAACCACGTTTCTCACGTGGTCTCGTCTTGGGATGTTTGTATTCAGAAGGTTATTCGTGTCGGGGTCAAGTGTTGACGGAGGCCCCTGCACATTCGTCTCCAAGCTCGGCTGCTGTCGGAGAGTATTAATGTAGATGCTCTTCTGCGTTACCGTCTCCAGTGGATTTATGCATAGCCGCTGTTTTCTGTCATTACTAAAGCACAGAGGTGTAAATCAAACACCCTGGGACATTTTGGATAGATAGATAGCGTAAATCATATTTTTGTTTTCTGATCCTCTCAATGGTTTATTGTCCTGTCATTGATCTTTAATTGTAAAGCAACTGTATTTGTAATTGTAGAAGAACAAAAATTCTAACTTTTTTACTCTTTTGTTTATTATGTAGGTCAGTGTACAGAATCACTTGAACTCTCTGGGATGGATGCAGGTACAATGATGAAAAGTTAGCTTCAGTGTTCGGTTGTATATACAGTATATATAGTGACGGGTGGGTAGTTATTGTGGGTGTAGGGGGCAGGAACAGAGCACTAATTGGGGGAAAACATATAATTGACTATTTAGTGGGGAGCCTCTGGTCCCTGACAGTTGTCCTCAGAAAATGCGCAGAGAAGAAAGAGCCCACAGATTCAGCAGTTCTTTTTCTCCTTCCCTTCCGTTCCGTCCACGCAATTCCTATCAGTTTGAAGTCGATCCCTCGTTACTCCCTCCTCCCTGCCCTGTGAGTGCTGATGAGTTGTGTGTGTGTGGGGCTAATATGACTATAAAAGGTTGGGGCCACAGAGCCTTCGCACTAATCCGGCTGCAGAGCCTCTTTAATTAGCCCCGCCGCTGTCCGTCTGTCTTTGTGTGTGAGCGAGAGACGGAGACAGAGGCCGAGGGAAAGGACACAGGGAGGGAGGTAACACACCTAAGAGGACTGAACCCACATCGCGGCTCCTCACGTTGGTCTGCCGCTTTTCATTCAGCAGAAGTACTTGCAGCACTTGAAGCGATGCATTGTGGGAAAGAGTAATAGCCTCTCCATAGAACGTGCACAAAAAGTGGTCCGCGTGTGCGCATGTGTGTGTGTTCAGTGAAGTGGTGTGTGTGTGTGTGTGTGTCAAAAGAGACGAATGACCTCAGTCTCCGTTGGTCACACGCGGACGTCCTTTCTGACCAAGAATGGTCAGAATCACAGCTGCAGCTGCGCTTTTGTTCTCCACAGACTTTTCTTTTTTGTTTTACGGTTTACTGCTGTCAGTATAACAAAGACACTTAACTTTATGGTGGGAAAAATCTAGATGACATCAATATATGTTCACGCGATGTTGAAGTGAAACCATCACGTTGGACCTAGATACGTGCTTTAGTGTCACCAGGAGACAAGAGATACGGAGCGTAACGTCTTACACACGCTCCCAAATGGGTCCAAGTCCTCCATCAGCCTCCGGATAAAATTTCTCTGGTTGATATGACACATTCTGCCACCAATGTATTGCCCTGTTTGTGGGTAACAGGGACTTAGAGATCAAGACAGGAATAAAAAGAGAAAAATGAAAGGAACCTGTATTGCAGGTCTGAAAGTCAAAGTCAACTATTAGAAAAGTCTCCTTACTTGATATTCATACAAGACTGAAACTGTTTTCCCCGTTTCTATCAATGACAACATTATATTTTTGTCACCTACATCATTTAAAAATAATCTGCATGAATGTACTTTAATGGCTCATTTTCAACATGAAAAAGAACATAATTACACATTTAATGGAGTTTATCTCGGTGTGGCTTGTTAGTTGCAACTGTTCTCCAACATTTGTTTACAACTTTTTTCAACATTGAAGGACTACAACAGCAGTATCGGGTGTGGAAAACATTATTCTTGCTCCCCCATTAGGAATATAGTAACATATTTGCCAATTCTGTCAAGAGCATAATTGATGCAAAACATCAGTTTTGCACATTCAAGCCCTGTTGTTCATCAAGACTTCCTCTGCGTGGGGGTTGAATCTGGGTGAAATTAACCACCCCCCCCCCCCCCCCTTCCCCCCGCCTCACCATACTGAACACCAGAAACAAGTGAAGAGCATACATATTTTATGATGTGTGCAAACTGAGATATGTCTGCCTTGTAATGGCTGTTAGCTCAGAGGCAATGAAACCGGTATGCGTCTGCAACTCAGCAGACGCAACTCAGCGTTGCACCATTAGCTGTTTGTCACCTATTTATTTTGTACAGAGTATAATGGCCTGTTGCTTTTTACTGGCCTCTTAAGTGAGCTTCTGTAACAACCTCTCAGTTACACTGCTGATGGTGAGTGTGAGCGTTTTCATCATACAACATGCCAACGGAACACGGCTACATGGTGGACCATTTGGACACGATGGTTGCGTCATGGCTCTGATCGCTCTTCCCACACGCGCTGTGGCTAGGAGACATTTTGAATCTTTCTCTTTTCTCTTAACAAGCTGTAAGCCCAGTTTGACAGCAGGTCATAAAGAAGGAACAAAGGTAACTCAATGACTCCTGCTATTAGACACGCATCAGTGAATGTACAGTAGAACCACCGACATGCGGTAGAGGATTAGGTCTTTCATCAGCTCTGCCCGAATACTTCTGTTGCTGAATGCATCCATACATCTTGTGATAAATACAGAGTGAGCGCGTTCTCTCCGCTTAATTATCCCGACTGTGACGTTGTTGGTTATGTCGATGACTCAAGCTGTTTGTGGGTTTCGTTTCTCTGAAGCTGACAGATGGTGGAAAGGCGGCCAAAGGGGGCATGGGTATCGGGGACGTGGTTCTGTCTATTGACGGCATCGCCACAGAGGGCATGAACCACCTGGAGGCCCAGAACAAGATCAAGAGCTGCACTGGAAACCTCAGCCTCAACCTAAAGAAGTAAGCCATGAGCTCACGTATGTGTGTGTGTGTGTGAAGTAGCTGTTTCACCTTACAATGACTGCATATGTACAGGTAAGTTGGATGCCATTGATCTCCATGGCAACGGCCATGAATTCCCTTTTCAAACACTCGTCCAGTCGGCAAGAAATTTAAAGTCCATGCTTCCCCTTTGAACTCCCACGTCCCGCACACAGGCAGATGTTCCCTGTTGTTGTAGGAGTTAATCTTCACCAAAGCAGCAACACCCATTAGTTCTGCGTGATGTCCGATCCCTGAAGGAAAGAGGAATAACTGAAATCACAGCTAGAGCACCACCTCCTCTTCCCAGAGGCCCACTCCTCTCTGTTTGGGTGAATCCTGTTGTATAGTGGATCTGATTTATCACAAGCACTTGTGTGTGTGTGTGTGTCTTCATGTTGGCTCTCATGTGGTTTGGATTGTCTGGTTCTTTGGCAGCACCTGCAGGCACGCGTGTGTTTTCATTTAAACAAAAATGCTCAAGGGCCCCTACACTTGTTCTTTTCGGATACAAGACCATAAAAAAGGACGCAGGTTTACGGTCCGCCGTGCATACAGGCAGAATGAATTCACTGCGGCATATGAAATGCGTAATTTAGGGTCAGTGTGTGGGCTCCTGTAAAAGAGATCAATGAAGAAACGTTTATGGTCAATGAAACAGGCCTTAGAATAACAATTGGCTCATCAATGGAGGATTTACCTGTCAAAGTTTATATTTGGATGGATTACAAAGGATTTTGGTCTGAAGAAAGTCAACCGGGTTGGGTTGACAACAATGCTGAAGATATTTTGTTTGATTTATACCTTTTAAGCTGTTCCAATTCCACAGAGAAGCCGTTCTCCACATCAAAAACATTAAAATAAAGGTATCTTACTTACGATAAGTATGGTGATTCGTTTTGAGCAAAGTGTAGTCAGGCTCATGGTTTACTTCGTGGAATAATACTTACACACATGCGTCTGATTTCATAATTTGTCTCGCTAAAGCTGCATTAAATATGTGGATGAGACAACTAATGGATTCAAGATTTCTGTGGTTCATCTAACGTTTGGCATTTAGTGAAAGAGGTTGATGTGAGCGTGGCTCTTTGCGAAACATTTGATTTATCATCACGACTGGCAAACAATATATCTTCTCCTAAAGGAAGAGTTTGGGTAACAAACTGACTTTCTCTTTCTCTCTGCAAAAAATAGATGAAAGGGTTGAAACCCCTTAGCAGTCTGTTTAATGTTATGCTACAGGCCAGAGGTAAAAAAGAATTAGAAGAAATAGTCAAGCACCTAAATTTCTGTAAAAACGAAACCCGTTGGTTTCACACATTATTGTTTGTACGAATGAGACAAACGTGGTTTAATATAGGATTTAGTCGATGGTTGGTGGATCTAAAGATAAATCTCATGTAAGAGTGCCCTTGTTTGGGGGACCAGTTAAAGGATTATCTGTTCTGCATCGCTCTGTGTCTGAGGCAGAAGTCGGCACTTTAAGGGTTGATTCATTCCCCATTGGAAGCACATGGAACAGCTTTTTTCAGTAAGTGGAAGAATTACATTGTTTAGGCAGTGTGACCGGGCAGTTGCTTCGGGGATACCGGCTCCAGCTTCTGCTCTATGATAGGTTAAGATCCAGCAAAGTGACTGCGCAATCCTTGTGCCTTCGCCTGACTCCATTAACAATAAGAAATCAGAATTTCTTTAAGTTTACGCTGTGATTTGGACATACAGTGGTGTGCATTCAAAAAGCGTCATGCACAGGTCACATCTGGACTTTAACAGGTTTACATGCGTAATGGAAAGAACCAATCCTGTCCCTCCTTTCTGTTTTTAAAGGCGTCGCTCAAGTCTCTTTTAGTTTTTCCTTTTTGCACATTTCGACTGGGTTTGTCGCTGGGTCACATAGCAACAGGAATGATAACAGCGAGAAGATACAGACAAATGTTAACAATTTCTGCAGTGTCTGCGTGTGTGTATTTTAAAAGCAGACAGGTTGTTATTCCCTTTCCAAATAAAGGAGTGATGGGATAAGAGATGGACAGCAGATGTGTGAACGAGACACGGAACACCTGTAGAATAAAGTTGTTTCTCCAGGAAGAACTAAAACTAAATTCCAAATGATACTGGCGCCGACTAGAAAAGAACTAGAATATATTGCCTGACAGCTAAAGTCAGTCATATACTATGGTTACCAGTTTAATTATCACTTATCAACATTAATTTAGCCGTCTGTGAGAGTTCAGCAAGCATCAGTGAAGTAGCTGCTGGCAGGTGACAGAATGCCGTGAGTGTGTAGCCGTCACACTTACTTCAATTCAGATCAATCAGTAATAACTGAGATAAACGGCGTGAAGACCGGCTTCAAAGTCAAACCGAGTAACAAGAGATCTGCAGTTATTAAAAACACTTTGATGAGCAGCAAATTAAAGATTTTGATTTCATGCAACTCATTTTGCAAACTCTATGGACTTTGGCAGTAAAACAGCAGGCTTTTTACACCCCACAGGTTTACAAACTAGTATGTGTATATGCGTGGCTGTCTTTATCTGATTATTATCAGTGTCACATATGAGGATTCAGGTGGTCGTTGGGGTAACACTAACCCGCATGGCAACGAGATGAGAGAGAGACTCATAAACGATGACAGAGGTGGAATCTCTAAGGTCTACAGGTTCTGATCAACTCATATGACATCCGCAGTTTCTAATATCTCGGTAGCTATATGCGCTGTTTCAGTATGAGAGAGATGTAGACATCTGTGGAGCATGTGTCTACACATCTTAACACACACACACAATGGACACACACCACACACAAAAATGTATGTTTTAGTAAATAACATTGAAACTAAGTTGAATCTTACATTGATTGTTGATGTAATGTTCTGAAAATATTCCTGAAAAAATTCCTTCCAATATCTCTCATCTGAATATCCTGTGAACTAAAGCGTCATTACATTTTTGTGGTTAAGTTTTGGTCAATTGATATTAGCATTTCCACCTGACTGAACCGTTCTTAGTAACGTTGGCCAAAAGTACAAAAGTTGTAGCAAAGACCTAATTTGTAGTAAGGAAATATAATTATAAGTAGTTGTCAGCAGAGCAGAATGAAGTTAGAGGAACTGACAAAGTAGAGCAGAGGACGATGCCGTTCAACAGATTATAAAGGATTGGCAGAGAGAATTTTGACAAATGAAGGAAAAATGAAGTAGAGGGAAAAGGCAGCAAAGGGACAAACAAGAGAAAGTTAGAAGCTGACATTCAGAAAGAACAGCATCAGATCTCAAGTTAAGATTAAGGTCATCGCTGAGGAGCCTTAAACTCAGAGGCGAGTTGTTTCTCCCAGCAGAGGACTTCACGTCATGTAGCAGTCCGCCTGTAGTGCAATCACAAGCTTACACTTCATTCAGCCTCTTAAGCAATGTCCTTATTATCTTTAGAGATAGATCAAAGTATTAAGCACATAATCAATGCCCACTTTGAAAAACGCAGGGGTCTCAGAGAGGATAATTAAGGTTTTTAATAGGCTCATTCTGTGTGACCGAGTGGTTGAGGCGTCTGATTCATAATAGTGTTGTCTTGTGTACTCATGCAGAAATACACAGGGAGAGGCCATAACAAGTAATGAATAAACACAATCAGGGTTTACTTTTTTTTGGACAAGTGCTGTAAAGTGGAATCACAAAGCTAGTAATTTTTGCCGGGATTTGCACACACACACACACACACACACACACACACACACACACACACACACACACACACACGTATCACATCAGTTTAGCTTACCTCAGCATTTTGCACAAACATACACACGCTACATTCATTGAAAATGAAAGTGAGACCCTGAGTACAACGTGGAATGGTACACGCACAGATCCTATGGCAGCTGCTGGACTTATTTTGAGTCCAGAAGTTGGCTCTGGGTTCTTGGGCAAATAAGAATAGCATGCTCTGTTGGGGTGTACGTTTCCCTTTTGTTTTCATTGTGATCTCTGAATAGAGACCATCGAGATCCCCGTGTTGTACTCGGATATCTCAAAAACTTGTTTATGCATAGAGGTTCATGTCTTTTTCTCTTTAATAATGTAGTTATCCTCACAACAAAATCTGGAATACACAACGGGGGGGGCCTCTCATTGGATCAGAACCAGATACAAAATAAGTCATTTGGTCTATGTGTCAGTCTGATGTATTTAGACTAATACTTTAATCAAATGATCTATTGCCTTTTTTTAGCCTAACTGAAATGAAACCCACAATGGACCGCGTGCCTACTTGGAACTGGCCAGTGTGTAACTAGAACCGCGTGTTTGAACGCACTTGGCTTTGAAGGAGAGCGATAATTGGATTCCCCATTTTCAACAGAGGGAGAGAGAGCAGGCTTTTACAGAAATACCTGGGTTAATTCATCCACACTGGAACATATTCGGCCTGCTAGAGTGTTTCGGAGCAAAGCAAAGCAGGCGGTTTACTAGGAGTACTACCAGAGTGAAGAGAAGACATTAGGACATTAAAAGCACATGCTCTAATAGGGTAGCCCCTGTAGTTTATTGGAAACAAATTGGGTACACGAGCTCAGCACGAGTCCATGAGCTGTAAGAGCTAATTACTACCTTTAATTCTGGTGGGGACGGATTATGCTACCAAAGCTGCAGACTACATGTTACGTCTTCTATCAAAAAGCAGGAGCCAGGACTCATGACCCGCTGTTCACCGTTGTGCTATTTTACTCTGACTGCAAAACATGTGCTTGATTGGGTAAATATGATTTGGTTTGGTAAGAGGTCTGATGGACCTCGTCGGTTAACCATGGAGGTCTGAGGTTATGTTCGGCATGCTGGTGTATTTATATATCCCACCCTCTCACTTTGTTGAGCCTGGCTTTATCAACAGCGTACATCGCGCTAATCTGCATGCGGCGCATGCTGTGGTTTCAATACAAAGAAAAAAGAAAAGAAAATCAAAGTAGTAGTAGTATTGGATACG